ACCTCTATCTCCAAGATTCTGTCCACCAAACTCTCGAACGCGAAACGCGCGGATCCCGTTCTGGCTCGCAGTACCGAGGCCTTCGAGTCTTCCAAGGCGGCTGTTGATATCGCGCTCGAGGCTAAGGCGAAGAGACAATTGAGAGCGCAGAAGAAGGAGGCGCAGTCGAAGGGCCGCGTGCGCGATGTGCTGGTTGCGGCGGAGGAGGAGGGCACCTCGACGGGAGAGATGTTGGAGGGCGAGAAGAGGCTGCGCAAGGTCGCGCAGAGAGGTGTGGTGAAGCTGTTCAACGCTGTGAGAGCGGCACAGGTTAAGGCCGTCGAGGCGGAGAAGAAGGCGCGCAAGGATGGTGTTATCGGTGTTGACCGGAGGGAGCAGAAGATCAACGACATGTCGAAGAAGGGATTCCTGGACCTGATTGCATCTGGCGGGGGAGGACTGAAGAAGGGCGCACTGGAGGAGGCTTGATTTGGAGAGGAGGGTTTGAGACAACAAAAATGTCATGCCGTTTGCCCGATTGCGGCACGGCTTAATTTCTCGTTTCTGCAAATATGTTCTTAGAGGAGTGATTTCATTCCCTCCCAACCATCCTTGATACCCGCCAAATGTCTAGCAAAAGCCCAAGCTTGATGTATCCGTCCCGAAACCGTGATGCCGTGCTTGCTTAAGAACACACCCTACATTTTCCCCATGACCCCTCCTTTTTTGCGCGGTATTGTATAATATAGTACAGAATGATTAAATGAAGTGGTATGCAGCGAACGCCCCCATGCTAAAAGTCCTATTATGAGAAGTCGCTGGCCTGGAGGTTGCGGGTCATGGACGGCAGCTTGACCCTGAGACCGTCGAGCTCCTTCGTCATTGTGACTTGACATCCTAACCTACTCGTCTCGGTCAGACCGAATGCGAGGTCAAGCATGTCGTTCTCGTCATCCTCGGGCTCGGGCATCTTGTCGTAATGCTCCTCATCGACAACAATAACATGGCAGGTCGAGCAGGCGCAGGAGCCTCCACACGCACCTGATCCATCAAGTCAGCCTTTTGTTTTCTAGCAACTGGGAGACGTAAGCACATACCCTCCATCTCCAAGTCATTATCTTGCGCGATGTCAAGGAGGTTGTCTCCTTCGCTGACAGCAATCTTGTATTCGTCGCCGTCCTTGTCGATGAAAGTGACATAGAGCCTGCGTATCTGTGAGCAATAGCTCTCACAACGTGTATGTGTCCATCCTTACTCTTCGCCCGCCTTGGGAGGGGTAATGTGGCCATGCGACTTGAAGGCCGAGACGGAGAAGCTGCGCGCCGAGGGCAATTGAAGCTTGTTGAGTGCGAATGACCGTGTCGTCCTTGAGGGCGCTGTCGAGGTGAAGATGGATCGGGTTTGCTTCTGCAGAGGACGAGCCTGCCTGCTTGCGCTGGCGGCGAGCCTGTAGAGAGATCTGGTGGACGACATAATATCGCAGGGTCCGGTTCTCGGCGGGCTTTTGCTCGGGATATTCGTGGGCAGGGCGCAGAATAATCGGATGCGCTGGACAAGGACAATAATCGGACGTTACGGACGGCTTAAAAACAAAGGCATGCCCCTCGGAGACGGCGGTTGAGCTGATGTGACCGCAATTTGTAGGTGTTTGCTCTGTTGGTTGGCGCTGTGAGCAAGCCGGGGGCCGAAGAAGCGTTGGAAAGCCTTCGCTTGAATAAATGCGCAAGGGAAGCGGCACTGTGGAGATGTCATTGGATTCAGAGAAATTTCTATAGGCTCCTTTGGGTGGTGGGAGCTCCGATAAGGCCCACACCCCTCGGCCTTATCGGCCGGCGATTCGCGATGTTCCGCCTCCGGAGGCTCCATTTCGCGGGCGCTGACGGCAAATGGCGGAAAGAAGGACGGGTGGCCCGAGCGTCCCAAGGAACCCCTCTCCAGCGCAACGCAAACAGCGGGCAAGCGCGTTGGGCAGTCATTGTGTTTTTTTCTTTCCATTTGCTGATCGACTGATGTGCTTGGGCTAAGCGCCCCGCTAATCTTATCTCCGAGCGATTTCCATTTCATCATGCAAAATTGGGAGCGGTGGGCAGCTCCTCAAATCATGCACCACCAGCCTTGAGCTGCAAAATTCACCCGTCAAATACCAAAATGTCGACGCAGCGAGAAGGGGTCAACCCCCTCAGACCTTACTACAGGCCGCCGACCATTGGCGAGGCCCCCGATCTCACGTCTGCTGCTGCTGCTGCTGCCTCCCAGCCCAAGCCTTTTGCCCGCCATGCTGCAAATGCGACCAGCGAGCGGTACGCGTCCAAGGCACGCGACATCTTCTCCGATATCGACTACAAGGACTACATCAGCGAGCCTTCTCCCTCCGTCGTCCAAACCGTCAGGGACCTCGTCGACGAGCTGCTATGGAAGTACACCTCCGTCCTCATGGCCCAGCCCTTCGAGGTGGCCAAGACGGTTTTACAGGTCCGGAGCCACGATGATCTGACTCTGGCACCCCCCGCCGCCGAGCAGCCTACACCCCTCGCCTCTCCCGTGCTGGAGAAGAAGCAGCCGGTCTTTGGAAAGAACGTTTGGGACGAGCCTGGACCCGAGTCCGACTCCGACCTCGACGAGCCTGCATACTTCACCTCCAACATCCCGACGACGCCGACGCCATCCCAATCTAAGGATGCCCGGCACCACGAACCCTCTCCTCCTCGCACACCGGCAGCGAAGCAGCCGCTGCCGCCGCATCAGCTGAATATTCGACGACCAGACTCTTTGATGGAGGTTATTGGGCAGCTGTGGCAGAAAGAGGGTGCGTGGGGCGTGTGGAAGGGTTCAAATGCCACCTTCCTATACTCCATTCTCTCGTCCTTGTTCGAGAACTGGTCGAGAAGTGCCCTCAGTGCTTTGTTCAACGTCCCAGACCTCGGCGTGAAGGAGGATATCGACCGTCTCATTGACATCGCATCGCCCTATCCGTGGGCTTCGCTGTGCGTGGCCGCAGCCGCAGCCGTAGCGACTGGCCTGATTCTTGCACCTCTGGACTTGGTCCGCACACGGTATGCCATGCTATGCTTGATAACCAACTACTCCTTGGGGTTGTCGCTGACACTTTGATAGACTTCTCGTCACCCCGACTTCGAAGCAGCCTCGCCGCACGCTGGCCACCCTCCGAGCCCTCCCCTCCTACGTCTGCCCCTCACCGCTCGTTCTCCCCACGATTCTGCATTCGCTTATCCACCCCCTGCTCACCCTCTCTACACCCCTGGTGCTCCGCACCCGATTTCTAATCGACAGTCGAGTGTCGCCGACGACCTTCTCCGTGGCCAAGTTCTGTGCATCCTCTGTTGCTCTCTTCGTGAAGCTTCCCCTCGAGACCGTCCTGCGTCGTGGCCAGGTCGCCGTCCTGAGCACCTCCACCTACATCCGTGCTCTCGCCGGCAAGGATCAGCTGATGGAGACAATCATCCCGGCCGGACGGTACAATGGCGTGTTGGGCACAATGCTTTACATTATGAATGAGGAGGGTACGCGAGCGGTTCCTGTCCCGCCGGCTCCGGTAAGAAGAGGCAGGGCACCCAAGCCTAAGGTCGCCGAGACGGTGTTCCGAAAGGGACAAGGCAAGGAAGGTCTCTGGCGGGGCTGGAAGGTCAGCTGGTGGGGGCTTGTTGGTCTCTGGACCGCCGGTATCATTGGAAACAGTGCCGAAGGCGAGTTCTAGATGCCAAGCTTCGAGGAAGCAACAAGCAACCACACGCCAACAGACAACGGCTGGTCGTTGCAACCGAGTACGAGTTCGAAAGAGCGAGCGTGCAGAGAGAGTGCGTGAGAAAACTGTTTTTCTGTTGTGCTAGACGTATACTGGGACGACGCGGGAAACAAAATAGGCGTTCGGGGACATATTTTTGGGAACTCCCTGAACCACTCTCCTCCACGACGATGATGAGATACGGTATGATATCCTCCTTCCAAGATTTTGCTATTGTACAAACCCGCATCAATGAGAAAAGAACAACCCCTTTCCTGAAATACAAGACAAAACAAGAAACGGCCGTACCTGCAAAATCAAGAAATCGCTCGTAATTCATCTTCAGCTAGCATCTCTCGCGCTGAGCCATACCCCTAATAGAAACTCTTGTGTTTTAAATTTAGTTCGTCCACTCTAACTGTGTTTCTCGTCACCTCGTCCTCACGTGCGTCATGTCGTGCGGCGAGCCGTGTCACCTCGCCGTCACATTTAAATGTGGTCCGTATCTGTGGAATTTCGCTAGAACCTCCCTTCGGTACGACCTGGAACCTGGCGCAGAATGAGTGAAAGCCTGGAGCGAAGGCAGACCGAAGCCTGCGTCGTACGGGTGCCTGCATACAGGATGTCATGATGGCTCCTGTCAGTCACACACCGTGGGGCTTATCCCGACCAGTCCCTCCCGCCGCGAGGTCCTCTCTAGCCCTCGGATTAAGTGCTCGTTTGAGAAAGGTTCGTCACAATCGTCACAGGAACCAAGAAGAGGGGACGCACAAGAAGTTACGGCGAGCCAGGGGCGCGGGATGCGTTTGCCGCACTACGCGCCTCCGCCGTCCCATCACCATCACCACCACCCTTGTGCCAAGGCATGTCGTCTGCAAGCCTTGCCTCAGTATCCGAGGCTCTCGAGGAATCCCATGGACCGGGCCGTCCAGGCCGTGGTTTATTTGGGGCTCATGTCATGGGACTTTGGTCGTCCTGGGGTGACATTGGCGTTTTAGTCGGGGTGCTGCAAATATCTCACGCTAAGTCGTGGAGGGTTGGGGGCCGATAACGACCTGAAGAGGCGATGCCAGGCGGCCGCCCCCTCAAGGATGAGTCTGCATCGCAGCCTACCGCATGAACAATTTTTGGATAAAAGCCCTGCGATGGTCCGTTCTCTTTCTGTCTGTCTCGTATATTCTCCCAGGGAAAATCAATGATTCTGTCGACTTTTTCAAAACTGTCTTTGGCTGCAAGCTCCACTCTTCTATTTGTTGTTCGGGTATCAATCAATCACACGATGGCCCGCTCATCTCTGTTCCCTATCACATCGGCTCTCAATGCCTTGCTGCTCATCTGCATCATCCTCAAGCATGTTGCCATCGGCGTCGCGCGCTCGACAGTGCGACACGCCTGCATGGTTGTCCTGTTCCCTGTCATGCTCTTGCATATTCTCATCATCGAGGGCTGAGACAGATGACTCGGTTCGTTACTCAAGGGCGGCGTCACAGCTACTCACGATGCCGCCCGGCCTTCTACCTCATATCTTTCCACCATCCCGGCGCAATCAAGGGAAGAGAACCGTCGCGGCGGCGTCCCGCTGCACATCTCAGCGTCCTCGCTTGAACAAATTCAACATCTTGTCTCACCCTGACTCGCTTCAGTCTTTTCCGCACGTCTGGGCTTGAGTCAAGTGGTGATTCGAACGCCGCGTCCAGGCGCTCTTGTTCACGGCACCGAGTCTACGCCGGGCCCGGTCGGTGTGGGGCCGTGATCCTCGGCGCTTTCCTCCGCGGGTAAAAGTCGGTATGCACGGCCATGCGCAGGTTGCCACGCCGCTTGCCAGTCCACGCGAACCTGGAACCTCATTTGGGATGGTCGTTGTGTCTTGGTGCTTGAATTTTGTTGTTGCACACACATAGCCAGCCATGTGGCAAAGAGGCAGCTGTGATGATGATGGACCGGGCCAGGAATCGAATGGCGGGTTCGTTCCGGGATGGGAACATGGCTGTTTACCAGCGTGTTAGTCTTTTTGGTGGTGTATTCTGTCAGACTTTCTACCAATGCTGCGGTATTGGAGCCAAGCTAGTTCATTGAAATAAATATTCCGCACACCATCTGCTTGCCAAGGTTCCGAGATTGTTCGAATCCGCCTAGTCACACCCTTCTGGGTGGACCTTTTACGCATTCGGATGACAGGAGAGACATTTTCGGTTACTTCAACGCTAAAGACGATTCGAGACTCCGATTACGGCGAACTGCGGCGGCAAAGACATGCTTGATGTGGCGGGTCCACTTTCTCTATCCCTTTGGTATGGCCCTGGGAAGATTGAAGCGCTATTTCTCGCGTGGTCATCGCATGTCGAAGGACATTCGACGACACGTCGCGTGTTGACGCGAGCTATCGAGGACGGCGGCTCGGATGGAAAGCTCAATTAACTCTGCTCCAAGGTCACTAACCTGTGATTTGATCTCCTGTAATCAGGCGAAGACATTGTGATGGGTACCATATCCCTTTTGGACTCACGAGACGGTCAGAATTCTTCCCCATTGCCCTGCCGAGGCTTCTGTTTCCATGGGAAAGAGGCGATTGGCTATCGGCGTCTTTTGACAAGAGGTGACGTTGAGACATCTGGTTACACGTCTCCTGACTATCGATCTTGACAGGAGGCTAGACTGTGGGATGACGCTAGTTGGGCTTGTTGACTGAGACGTTCTTACTGGACGTATCAGCCTAGATGTCTCAAGTGAAACTTTGTTGGCTTTTCTGGAGACTTTTCGGCTGTCTGGTTTGACGATGATTCGGTTCGCCCTCCCGACGCCCTTGCCGATGGACACCACGAGCCGCCCATCGCAACGAGTCCGCGGGGATGCGATAAGAAATAACAATTGTTTCTTCTTCCCAGTTCGTACGGAGAGAAATGCGCAAAGTCTTATTGTTGAAGCAGCCTAGGCTGAGTTTTGGGTATCCTCTTGCTCCACCATGAATCCAGCCCAATTCCAACGTCATTCTTACCAGCTCGAGAAAGCCACATGGTCGTGGTCTGGACACGATGGCTTCCGTTGTTGCCGCCACAAATAGACGGTTGCGAGTAGATCCAAAACCTTATAGCCTATTTGCCTTGAATTTTGCGCGTTACTAGTAGGAAAGCTCCCGAGTGGTCTCCGGCCCGTCGTGGCGTGTTCTGAGGCTTCTCAGCCGCCTCTGGTTTCGGTAACCTCTCGTCAAAATACAAGTTTTTCGGCGCAGCCCGACGAGCCTCCGGAGAGATATTTCACTCAGCTTTCTAAATGTCGCAGTGAATTTGACAAGTCATTCTGACGCCCGATGAGGGAGGCAACAGGCGCCTCACGTCTCCCTTTCGCGTACTTAAGACCACGCCAGGGGCCGTCAATTCTTGGGATGGTTGACTCACCTTATCCCTAGTTCGACCACGGTGTTGAAGATCCGCAACTTGAAAGGCTTTGCGAGTATAAGATCTGAAGATCGCCGCTTTATAGAAAGCATTCTAGTTGGGGATATCGCCATCCACAGTTCTCTAACCACTAGTCTTTCTTTACTAGCTTCGTCGATCACTTCTCACTGAACGTTCTTCATCGTCATTCCATTCTTTTAAGACACCATGGGCATCCGGAAGACGTCGCGTGTCGTAGCTGCACTGGCTTCAGTTGCATCCGTTGCCGCACACGGCCATGTAACAAACATCGTCATCAACGGGGTCTCCTACCGCAACTACATCCCAACTCAAGACCCATACACCAACAACCCACCTTTGGTTGCCGGATGGTCTGCTGAACAGAAGGATAACGGCTTCGTCGACCCAAGCGCTTACAACGCACCCGATATTATTTGCCACAAGCAAGCCGCCTCCGGCAAAGGTCGCATCACGGTAGCTGCCGGCGATACGATCCAACTTCAATGGACTGAGTGGCCAGACAGTCACAAAGGTCCTGTCATGGACTTCCTGGCCAATTGCAACGGTCCATGTAACGCCATTGATAAGACAGCCCTCCGCTTCTTCAAGATCGATGGTGCCGGGCTCATCGACCCTCCTCAGAAAACCAACAAGTGGGCCGCGAGTGCCCTCATCGCCAACGGGAACGCGTGGCTCGTTCGCATCCCGTCCAATGTTGCACCAGGCCACTATGTCCTCCGTCACGACATCATTGCCCTCCACAGCGCCGGGCAACAGAATGGAGCCCAGAGCTATCCCCAGTGCATCAACCTGGAGATCACGGGTGACGGCACTTACAATCCCCCTGGAGTTCTAGGCACCGCGCTTTATGGAGCGAACGATCCCGGTATTTACTACAACATCTACCGTGACAATCTCAATGACTACGTCATTCCTGGACCGGCAATCATCTCTGGTGGTGTCTCGATGGTGCCACAGAGCAGGATCGCGATTACTGCTTCCGCAAGCGCGACGCCGTATGGCACCACGATTGTTGCTTCATCTTCCCGTGTTGCGAGCAGTGCTGTTGTTTCTAGCTCTAAGATCACTACTAGCTCTTCCGCCAGCTCCTCTACCTCCACCACATCTTCAACGTCTACCAAGAATACCGGTAGCAACACCCCGACAAGCACCATTGTCCGAACATCCACCTCGACACTGACGACATTGAAGACACTCACCAGCGTGACCCCGATCACTACTAAACCACCCTCAAACGGCGAGGTCACTCAGGGTCTTTACCAGCAATGTGGCGGTAATGGCTGGACCGGTCCGACGGCATGCCCAGCATACGCTGCTTGTTCCACCATGGACTCGTACTACGCGCAGTGCAGACCAACGCCGGCTGCTGGTGGAGGACAGCCTTTGTATGCGCAGTGTGGAGGAAACGGATACACCGGAGAGACTCAATGTGTTTCGGGGTCCCAGTGCACTGTCATCAACCCTTGGTATTCCCAGTGTCTGCCTTGAGCAAAGCGGTGGTTTGGCCGTACTCTTACCTAGCAGGTACAGCATACAAGAAGTGTAATGGTCTGGATATTTTCAGTGCGTAGCGTGCAAGCATGGGAGGTTGAGTAGTTCTGGGAGGACTTTGGGATGTTTTGTTCTTGGTATAGTTCGTGCGTTGAGCACGGATAGTCCAAGTCGTAACCTCAATGGCTTACAATCTTTGAGTCCCTGCATTGTTTTAGAGTTTAATGTGAACGTTCATTTATGCAGACGTGCGAGTTGAACTTACTTCTCAACGCCCCAAAGTTCCCCCACGGCCTATGACAAAGAGCGGTACGAATCTAGGAGTCGGTACTAGGCATCAAGTCGTGATGTTGATACAAGTTGCGCTCGGCCAAAACAAGTGCACAATCTAACGTAGCGGTGCAACAGTGGGAGATCGCCGATACATATTGCATCTAGGGCTGCCACCCAACAAGTCAAAAGTGCTAGCAAACACGTGCTTCATAAGACCAGACTCGGCTGTTGAGACTCAGTAGAAAGACCTTCAACAGATGTCATCCTCGGAAGCTGATCATCTGGTCAATCATGAATGCGGGGATGTAGGCGGCGGCGCCTTAGTGAAACCAATATGAATGAGATCTGAGGATTATAGAGTCGTACGAATCGAAACCTTACTTCGGACATCGGGCAATAGGTTCCACAGGGCTTTGCTGTACCACCAGTCTCACAAAGGGAGTTACAGGCCAGACTGACTATTTAAGAGAAATCCTCCGCACCTTTTGACAAGATGTGTTGGTCGTCGCTTTCTGTCAGTAGGTCACCTTCTTCGACATTGGTGAGATCTATCACTTAATTTTCTCAACGGAAACCAGAGTGGACTCTGACCAGAATGAAGCAACTCTTCCATCTGCCTTTCTTGTTGATTCTCTTCATGAGCTGTTCTTTTGGACAAACTCAAGAGAGCCCTTGCAGAATCGTGACAACAAACTACAATATTGGCGTAAGTCAGCATTTAAAATGACCAAAAGCGCAACAAGACAACGAAGACCTAATCGAAATACAGTTCAATGACATCGCACTAACAAGCCCTAATAAACAAGCTCTCTCACCTCCGACTCCATACTTCGACCTCGCCTACGAAGGCTTCGACATCAAGGCAGTAGCACGCCGAAATGACGTCTCTGATAGAAAGTACTTAACATACGAAGGAACATCAGTGTCTAGCACACATGCCATAAGGAAAGACTACAACGGATCTGGTGTGGAGAACTTCGATCTAGATGGCTTCGACTACAAATGCATGCGGACGTTGCCCGAGCCAGAGCGACGACCATGCAAAATCACAATCATTGGAGTATCAGTAAATGGCGACAATGTGTCTGAAAGTTGCACTGATGACTGGATGAGAGCAGATGCAACTCTTTTGCGATGCGACGTCAAGTTGATGAAGAATCTCAGGGGTATCAGGATTGGGACCTCGAGAGGAGGGTATCCTACCACCAATCGGTTTACTATGGTCACAGTCATGGACAATCTCAACTTCACGGTACGAAGGAAGGAATGTTGAAAGTTTGAGATTAACTTGTTCGTTCTCGCTTTATAGCCATGGGATACAGCTGCAAAGCACTTGTCAAGTTACCTCTGGCGTTGATTCTGATTGTCTACGAGGCGAGGAGGCGAAAAGTCGCGTCAATTACCTTTTTTATCCATCTACATTTAAGCCGTCTCTTGAAAAACAAATCACTATTGCACCAACTGAAAAGATATAAAGACGGGCTGCTATTGGTACGGAACAGAGCTTCGTTTACATAGTTCCATTTCGATCAAGAATTCCTCAAGTGAAGTGAAGTTATCAGATCCATCTCAACCAGTACCTTCAGATCAACGCCAGTCAGCTGAGTGCTGCGCACTAGTTGCCTATGAGCGTCGGATGCGACTACTCTAAACGCCAACAGGGGTTTGGCAAAGAACGGCCTGTCCGAGCTGTTTGTTGTTAGGCGCGAAAACAAAATCGGCTTAAGATTCGAAGTCACTTACGACAGGAAGGACGCAGCAACGAGCCCGCTGGCCACCAACCGCGCAGATCTTTCTGAAGTCGTTGGCAGAGGAGGGAACCGAAGTGGCTATGATTTATTAGGGTGCGGTTCAATTAATCTATATTTTTATAGCTTTTAGCTTACGGGAAGCACAATCAAGGTTGGCGACTCCGAGGACATCGGTCGCGCAGCACTGGGCACTGTCGTACAATCCAGAGCAAGGATCGTACGGGGCAGGAGTAGAGCCGCCGCCGTTGTGTCCGTCACCAGTAGGGGCAGCGATGGCAACGCTGGCGAAGATGGCAATGAGAGCGGTGGTGAACTGCATTTTGGTGTTGTGAAAAGAGTTCCTGGTGGAAGACTAAACGATTGGAGTTTGTAGGGCTGGTGTCTGACTGGAGGCTGGAGAGATGAATGCTGATGCTGATGAGAATAGACGTTTGAAAGGAGTTTCGACCTTGGTTTATATACTTGATTTACATACCATGGATTTAGCGCCAGTCCTGGCCGATGCAGTTCTTACATGCCTGGTTCAAGTCGATCCTCGACCTCATCGCGCCCGGCTACTGTGATCGGGAGACAACCTCCCCCGGCCCCCAAGGCAAAAGTCTCGCCACATCGTGAAGCATGCCACAATGGTCATGGACTCAAGGCAAAGACATTCAACATTCAGAGTCACGATAGTATGCATACCGGCTATGCCGGACAGAGTGACCCATTTCCTATTTGGATGACATGGCTGCACGTTACAATATTGGCTTGGCTTCCCACTTTATTTGGGCTGGGCTTCAACTTGTAGCATTTGTCACATTCTTCCACTCAACACGAGTTGGTTGGAAGCACAGTATCCAGAAAGGCGCCACTAAAGATCTTGAATAGGACGGGAATCCTTCAAATCCCCGAAAAAAGCAAATTCCGAGCGAGTCCGTGACGCTACCGCGGAAGCAGCAATCTTGTCCCGTGTGGAGAAGAGCCAGGACCTGACCACGGGTGCAGCCGCTCCCGTGTATTTAGTGTTGTTTAATGCAACGTTCCCCGCCTTCAGCTGGAGTTGTGAGCGAATCAAGACCGACATTCATTTCAGCGCCAGCCTTCCACAGTGGGTAATTGACGGATACGACCCTACACTGACAGGCATCCAAGCATGATCGTCGCTGTGCTGTTCCTCTCTGTGAGCAGACTTTTCACCCAGTCTCCAGTTCTGGAACATCATATCATGAAGAATCCCAGGCCGTAAGCAACGGCATGGGCTGCAGATGCCCTTCGGCGTTTCTTTTTCCGACGGCTGAGAATTAAAGAGTTCTTGCCATTTGCGTTTCTTGGCATGTAATTGGGTTCATATTCAGCCGGAAGGTGAGCGCGGCAGGATATGGCAATGCCAATCACCACCAGCTGAGGGAATGTCAGAACTGTATCTCTACTGTGCCTGCTGATGCTCGAGTGGTTGCCGAGTGTCGGGTTCGAATGGGTGTTCTAGACTTCACCCGCATTGGAGCTGATTGAGCGTTCAACAGTTTTTCGACAAACATCTTATTTCGCTGGCAATGATCGACGGCTTCCTTGCCCTTATTCAAGAGTAAGGCTTGAATATGACTATCCATTATCCACTCACATACATGACGCAAGGTGATGTCAGGGAGTGCTTGCAGGGGCTGAAACATGCAGCTTGAACAGTTGGCGATGCCAAAAAAGGCGCTGCAGAGAGTTGCCTAGACCGCCGCGGCCAATAGAAGCTAGTCTCTCATCATGTCCAAGAGCAGTTTGCATCCCGAATAGAGCGTGGGTCTCGGAATGAAAGCAAACAAACATCCTGCAGGATGGAAGTATAACGTCAAAGCAATTAGGCCGCATCTCTACCCGCTCCAATACATAGTACACGAGTAGTTCCACTGTCAGATCAGTAAACATTTGCAATCAACACCAAGGAGGTAAGGAGTTCGTATGCTGCATCAGCTTTCACCGAAATATGCACTACCGGCCCACCGACTTCGCCTCATCCCGTTTTCGGTCCAGTTTGTCGAACTTCCTTACAACTTGAAGGGTGGCAAAGTAACTGAATGGCAAAGCGACGAACCAAAGACCCAGGTTGATGCTTGCCGTTGCAATGAGGGCGGTTGGCACGGCTTGAACACCGAAGCCTATGGCAACTGCGGCCGTCTCAATACCCCGGAGCAAAGAGCTATACCGAATCTGGTCGCCAGGGGAGTCCGAGAGGTTGCCGATACACCAGTAAATGTAGTTTTCCACCATTCCGAGACTGATCCGCTCGAACATGTAGACGCCGAACCCTCGACCAAACTCGCCCTGAAGAGCCCAATCCAATACGGGAAGCGTGAATCGATACTCATTCTGGATGATGACAGCCCATATCCATGTCGCGCTATTGAGTGAGGCAATCAGGACATAAGTCGCGATGGCTCGCGTCTGACGATTCTTAGTCCAGGGTAGGTCAACAAGAGAACCGCCCAGCCACGTCGCGAAGGTTCCCACAACTGCAGACATGAAGCTGCCCAGAGCTCTAGACCGGACGGTGAAGTAAGTGGCAAGGTAGGTGCCGGGATAGGCCTGTATCCATCCGAAGTACCAGAACAGGGGGATCAGGAGGACGATAGATCGACTCTTGAGCAGCTTCCACATTTGCTTACTCTCTTCCCGCCAGTGGACTCCTCGCGGAGCTTCGATTGATGTACCGTCATCGCGTCTGACCTTCTCAGGATTCGACAATAGGAGGCCGAAGAAGAAGCCCAAGCACTGAATCGCGATGAAGCCTAGATATGTTTGGTAACCGACTTTGCCTTTTTGGTTGACTTTGTGGTTGATGGCCAGAGAGATCGCCCCTCCAATGATGTTGCCAAAGTTTCGGAAGGTAAACCACGTCGCGATGTAGCGTCCCCGCTTGTGCTGCTCCGGATAGCCTGTACTTATGGCTCCTTCAACACTCCAAAAGAAGCCCGCACTCAAGCCACATGCAACTGAGCCAAAGTAGACGAACCAAGTTGCGCCAGTTCTGTTGTTGACGTAGAGGCCGGCAGCATACAACGGGTAGCCCAAGGAGCCTATTGCAAGCGTCCATCGAAACCCGATGATGTTCGTCATCCAAGGTCCAGCAAAACAGGTTATTGTCATGAATGCGTACAGAAGGGCGTTGGCGGCATTGACGAGATTCGGACTTTGAGAGCCACCGACACCCAAGCCATTCATGGCGCTCCAGATGCCGGGAGCACTGAAGGCACATATGCCAACGACCAGAATTTGAAAGAGGGTGCTTCTGAAAAACGGTATCGAGGATGGGGGCGTCGAGGGGCCATCTTGACTGTGCTCCGAAAGATCTTGTCTAGTGGTAATAATTGTAGTCGGCTCATTAGACTCAATAACGCCTTTCTGCGCTGATTCGAGAGACATCGATTCGGGAGGTTCGAGTATGATCGCAGTTGAAGCGATTAAGTGGAATCTGTTCGAAGTTGCGATGATAAATATATTGAAGCTGTTGAAGAAACGCCGACGCAACTCTGAACGTCTTCTCAATCAAGCGCCCATAATCACGCAAAACGGCCAGAATTTGACATTATCGGTGTCTTGCTGTTCTCGCCGCGTGTCACACACGTGGTTGGTGATAAGATATATCTAGCATCCAATGATTGGAGGGCTTGCGCCAGCTCTACAGGAATTGCGTGCTCCGGCTGGAGCGCCCGACCGATACCGATGATCGGCACCCCTCATCGGAGTTCGCACCAAGCCCATTCGGCTGGCAACTATGATACCGAATGCAACCGAACCCCGCACAGAGAAAGTTCCCAGCACGTCTGCGGTTACTTCCTGATTTTACGATAAAGATAGCCGTGAGTAGTTTTGATAATTTATCGCATATTGTTGCTTTTGAATACCGCTTGATGGTGTTTCATCGGCGGCTTCAAATCATGAAGGTTGAGTTGAGTTATCAAAGAACATTGAAGTTGGCGCCCGGCCGGCTGATGTGTCCGATTGCAGATCCTGAATCCCAGAGCGTTGCTGATGGTGTGTTGCGTCATATCAGAAGGACCCAACGATTTTGAATCCAAAGATAACGTGATTTTGGTTCCGAAGGCATGTCGCACGTGTGACAGCGTTTCATTATATAGAGGACTGCTGCCGGTTTCCCAGGGTAAATGTCGACGGCCAGTTCCCGTGTCTGCACCCTCGCCAGCAGACTACTTGCAGCAAAACCGCTGATCTGCAAACTCGACCACCAAGCCCAGCCCCGCTATAGTATGGCGACAGCAATCACTTTGAACTCGGCACTGTTCGTTCCGAATGGCACTACCGACCCTGAGTCACAAACAGAGGTGTTTGAGTCTTTTGAATTGCCAACAACCAATCAGAGGAATCTGGGAGCTCCTCACCCCGAAGGCACAGTGACACCTCTTGCTCTAAGGCCATCACGTCACGACGATCATGTTGACTTGGAGACGGTAATACAGACAGTGAAGTCGCTCCAGGCTCGCGGTGGGATTCTCACAGAGAAGCTTGCCCTTCATGGGACTTTGTTGTTCCGAGGTTTGCCCATCCATAATGCAGAGGACTTCAGCAAGTTCGCCCACGCCTTCGGTTACAAGCCACATGAAATCATCGGTATTGTAGTGAACAGACCGCTGCTAGCTCCAAATGTAGCTCCTGCGAACGAAGCGCCCAAGGAGGTCTTGATTTACAATCACAACGAGTCGCCTCAGGTACCACACGCTCCGGAGTACATCTTCTTTTACAACCATAAAGCTCCTGAAAGAGGTGGAGAAACCCCGATTTCGTCTTCGCTCGAACTTTTCAATCGCGCCAAGAATGAGATTCCGGAGTTCATCGCCGAGATCACCGAGAAGGGTATTCTCAGCCGCGTCACGTACAAGTTCGACCGTCAATACGAGGGAGGATCGACGCTTAAGCAGGCATTCGGGAAAGAGTTTCAGGAAGGAGACGATGATTCCACCAAGAAGGCCAAAATAGAGGCTCAGATTTCCCGATACGGTCGTGGCGAGCATACTACGTGGGAGTGGATAGAAGATGGCGTTGTTTTGACGCACCGACTTCCCGCTGTACGCACGCAGCCCGGCACAAATCTGCCGACTCTATTCACAGGTCTGGCAGCTTATTGGAAGAATGCGCAGGGGGGCAACGGGTCTAGGAAAGAGGTGACTAAACAGCTGTATGGTGACGGCACTCCCATTCCAGAAAAGTATCTGGAACATTTGTCGAAAATAACGGATGAGATCCGTGTGCTTCACAAGTGGCAGAGAGGCGACATTCTCGTTTACGACAACATCATTGCTCAGCATGGAAGGCAGCCTTGGGAGGGCGAGCAATCAGATCGTGTGGTTCTAGCCAGTCTATTCGATGGTCACAGGGTTCCTGGTGCGTACAACGATAAGAGCTGGGCCCAGGTTGTCCAGGCACTTGAAGGATAATTAGCAAGTAAATGGCCCACACTCTCAACACGTGCGAGTTTCAAGTAGAATACGATGTCTTACCTTGTCTCAGACAGGCCGCCCGTCTAACAATGGTACATCAGCAACGGCTTCAGTCTAGCTGGTCCTAATAATAAACTGCCACTGGTTACCGTAGAAAATGGAATGCCCGAAAGCGATGAATTTTGCATACTGAAGGATCGAGAAATAAATTGGATTGCGTCTTAACATGCTAATCATGCCTGCTAAACTTATACTTGGAGCCTGGATGAGATGCTCTGAGCTTGGGATCCCCAGGGGTTGCGTATAAGTTCTCCCTTGCGGTTCCTCCAGGGACTGCGTAGTCCCCATTCCCCAGCCATCCCCTTGCTTCGAGCTCAGGAATGAGGTATTCTATCACGTCTGCCCAGGCGCCAGGAACGACAACATGTCCGATGTTAAAGCCATCAACATCAGCAACCGTGATCCACTTTTCCAGCTCATCAGCCACAGTCTTGCCGCTGCCAACCTTGAAGTTCCCGCTCCCCCCTATGGATTGGAATTCGGCTAGAATCCGCGGTGTCCACCTCTCATATCCTTGTGGCCGAGACAGGAGACGTTCCCGCTGCTGCGGTGTGAGTTTTGCCATCAGCGGGTGATTGGGATCCGTGGGAAATTCTTCGTCGAGTGGGAAGTCGCTGACATCAATGCCAGAGATGCCGCCAAGAAGTGCGAGTCCTCCGTCACCAATTGCGTACTTCTTGTAGCGTTCGTACTTCTCCTGAGCCTCCTCATCTGTAGCACCGAGTATCGGGGTAAACTGAATGAAGAATTTAATGTCATATGGATCTCGGCCTTGTGAGGCGGCGAGGTCTCGGGTCTTCTTGATCTTGCCTGCAAGAAATGCCGGGTTGGGGCCGCCGATGAATATGCACTCTGCGTGCTTTGCAGCAAATGCTGACCCGGCCGGCGACATGCCAGCTTGGAAAAGGAGAGGGGTTCTCTGAGGACTGGGATCGACCTGATGAGCACTCTCGGATTTGAAAAACCGTCCTTGATGAACGATCTTCTTGACTTTAGTAGGATCAGTGAATGTAGATGATGCAGAGTCTTTGACCACAGCATCATCTGCCCATGACCCCTCCCAGAGTCTAATGTTCATGTCAGCTGGCACAGAATATCTGCACATGACCGTGAGCACGTTTACTAACTTGTAAACCAAACTTAAATACTCATCCGCCATCTCATAACGAAGGTCGTGTTCCGGAAGCTTTTCCAGGCCCATGGCTCGGGCAGCGTTGTCACTCCAGGAGGTGACAATGTTCTGTGTGTCCTCTGTCAATAGTTATCTCACAGGTGACTTGTGCTTTGCGACAACCTTACCCACGCAATTCTGCCTTCAGTGACGTGATCCAAGGTCGAGAACCTTTTGGCCAGAATGAACGGGGGCTCAAAGGTGGTGCATGCTGTGACACCGAAAGCGAGGCTCTTCGTGACAGCAGCCATAGCCGAGATGACCTTTTCTGCATCAGTTGATAGCCAAGAGGCCCCGAGTTGAGACGTAACTTACCACGAATGGATCATAAAGTGGCCATTGGGTTCCCGATCTAATGGCAGGAGCATGGCTCTTTTGGTACACATCGTGACTTCCGAAGTTGTCGGCTTTCACACATGAGCCACCCGGCTTGAGAAAGCACATGGAGTCTTGACATACCTAAGAATAAAGCGTTGAATTTTCCTTTTTCAAGAAGCTGCGCTAGCTCGATCCAGTAGGGCAATCGATTCTTGTGAGAGCTCTTGTCTTCTGGGTTCTGCCACTGTCCTATGCTTTCAGCACTAGTAAGTATAACACAATTTACAGATCACTCAACCATCAGCGTACCTGATATGTCCAACGCCGTTCATATCAAACGCGTTTAGGAGGATTCTCTTCTGCTTTCCTTCTATGTTATATCCGTATCTTCGCTCCCCATCAATCTTGCCCTTGAGAACATCGATTGACGTGGCTTCTGCTGAGTGGAGAAGGGTGTCCGGCGCCATTATGTCTCGGTGAGGCTGATGGGTTGAAGTAATCGTCAATAAACTTGTTCAGCAATGAAATAAGCTTTTGAAGAAACCAGAACTACAGCTGTTGTACTTGGGATATAATGAAATCTCGCGAAAGCGAAAAGGAAGTGATCTGGTAGAAGTCGTGGAAGACGTTGGCACCGGACGAATGGAGGTGACGTAGACCTCCTAGAGATAGAAGAAGAACCTGTACCAATATTCGAATATGTGTGCTGATTCCAAGATTGCCCCGTCTGCTGGCATTGAATAAACTTGCGTGATTGATCCTTTGATAGTGGGATGCTTTGGTCAATTGCGCCATTGATAAGTGAATCCAACCCTTTCCGATTCGCTGTGGTGTATCTAGCACGCAATTGTATGCACTCCGCACGAATGTGTCATCCTTAGATGCATCAAATCAGGCCATAGGAGCAACCTGATTATCAATTCTGGCAACGAATTTTGATGAAACGGAATTCCGACATCGGAGTTTTGACGGAAGTCATGAGATTGACTACCGAATTCAAGCAGCCAGTTTTGCGAAAACGTTGTACACATTATGTTGCGGAATGCGGATGGAGGACTACCCGTATTCTCGCTGTTGTCGTCGTCTTCTTTGATCCGAGCGAGCAGCAAGGTTCAAACCATATGCTTCGACTAATATGTGGAGATTTTGTCACTTCATATACAACGATTAGACATGATGAGCTTTGGCGCAGTTGATAAGCCTTTACTTGCAGAGCTGTGACGTGGGTCTGGTCTATTTGCATGGAATTCGATTGGCAGCATACAAAGGCTTTGCCAACTAACACCAGGAGAAGCTGGTTGTAGCTCTGAGGGAATCGATCTAGACCCATCGACTGGCAGAAGAATCGTCTATGTAGACGAATCACCTGTAGGTCCTTCTGCATTCTGTTTGCGACGCCGGTCTCTCGCCGAATACCAAACCACGAAACAAGTCCACGAAAAGTATGTCACCTGCATGACTGCTTCCATGACATAACCCCTGAAAAAGCGAGGAGCCTCAACCGTTGGAAAAGCCACGATAGGAACCCATGTTCCGAAGGCGGTACTGATTGCCAACATGGAACTGACGACAAAGGCTCGTTCTTCAGCATCGCCGGCGCAAGCGAGGTTCGCAAGACTATAGTTAATGGGAGACAGGGAGACCTCGATGTAACTAATGGCCACAGCAAACCACTTAAAACCGAATGAAGTGTGATCGTAAACTATCCAAGCGAATTTGGAAATGAAATGAAGCAGGCTGACCGATCCAATTAAGGGGGCGATCGCCTTCTGCCCACCCTTGTCAATTGTCCATGAGAACCCGAGAATGAACAAGATCCCTATGCTTGGACTTATTGCCTAGAGATAACGTTCAACGAATTACGATGGGATATCATGCGAGGGGGGGTTCGGGACTCACGGTGAAGTTGTTGACCTGTGCCACAGAATATTGCTCGTTACTTCGCAGCCACAGTGTTGGGCTCCCTGTGACCATACTCTCATATCCCATCAGCCACATCACATTCCAAGGGACGAGCACCCAAAAGTGCCACCTGCCGAGGAATCGTTTGACGGAAAGCCAAGATAAACTCAATCCCTTAGGATCGAATCGACCTTCAAGAATCATTCTTTGTTTCGCCATGGCAAACTCCTCATCTGTGAAGTACCATCTCTTCCCATCCCTCGGTGTACCTGGAAAGGTTATTGCCCCCCATGCGGCAATTGGAAAAGTCATTATTGACGCGACGATGTACATCCACCGCCATCCCGGATGGCCCAGAGCGCCATCCAAGGACTGATAGATACGAGAAGAGAGCAGGCCGGTTGTCATCGTGCCGACACCGCTTGAGACGTAAAATATTCCGGCTCGGCGCACGAGCTCGTCGCCTCGGTACCTGTAGCCTTAATTTTAGAAAGTTGCCCCAAAAGCCCTCCAGATTTCGATAGATAGTACGACTGACCAGCTTCCGAGAACGTAATGTATCGAGCAGAAGTAAGGCCCTTGTTACATTAGCCGCTGTCATTGTCCGTCACACCCCAGGAACCCACCTTCAAGAAAACCAACTAAAAAGCGATAGCCTGCTAGCTCTGCGAAGCTGTTTGCACGGTAGCACAACAACGTAAATACCCCCCAAATCGTCATCGAAGTCGGGATTACATATTGAGCAGGATACTTCGTGACCAGGAGCGTTGCTGGTATCATGGATCTGTAATACCGATCAGGATTCCGCATAGCAGAGATTTGTAAAAGGGAATGAAGACAACATACACACAGTACCCTACGCTGAAGATGGAACCCAATTGCACCAATTCGTTGCCAAAGAGCTCGAGATCTTGCCTGGTGTTGGGTCATCTTGAGGCTTTAATATGATTGTTACCGCTTACCTTCTCGCATACCACTGATGTACGCATTGGTAAGTATGCCTCTGTCGATGTACAAAATCTTTGGTTATGGTTAGCAAGAACCCCAACCCAGACAAGGCACTTGACGATTGACTACACACCCAGAAGCCCACGAAGGCATATGTCAGAATAAAAAAGTCAAGCTTTAGTATCACTCTTCGTTCCAAGGGGCCGTCATTACTGTCGAACCAGGCAAAGAATGACTTTTTGCTGAAGTTTCGGTTCGATTGGTGTTCACCAAGGGGACCGTCGGTATCTCCTTGACGATCCTCGTCGCGTGCGTTTTCTGGTCGGCAGTTCGCAGTTATGTCAACACCATAGCTCTGTTTGTCCGCCATGGCTCGCATCTGAACAATGTAGTGTAACGCGTAACGCGTTTTTGAGGAAAGGGTTTCTGCGAAAGGAACAACAATGAATGAATGGTTTCCTTAGTGTCTTGCATGGACTAGATGCTCAGCTACATATCGAAGTTGGAGACTTGGTCATGTAATCCATGGTACTGGATCATTGAACGAATCCCGAGGAGCCGACAAGAATCACGCACCTATCGAAACCAAAAATACAGATCTAGATTCCCGCCAGAATTCCGATACCGCGATCGCACTCTGTTGCGTGAGGAACACCCCGGATGGCGCAATATGGGATGTTTCCTCTTGCCTGTGACGGTGACCCAAGACAGCTTGTTAATCTTCAGTAACGTTGTGTCTAAGTCCAAGACATGATAACCGTTGTATTTCCGGGTGCCAACGGTCGAGCACGTGGGGGCCACGCCATTGACGCGATCACAACCATGTTGAAATTGTTGCCTCGTACCAGTGATAAGTCTTCAGTAAAGCACCTGAAGCCAATAGGGATGGATACGGACGATTTTCCAGAATTGTGTCACCATCCTTGCTGGTTTACACCTTATCTGAACCTCTGTCTCGTCTTGTGTGATGTGGAGCCGGTATGTCGCAATGGGTATTGGGTATCGATATTCGGAAAGTGTGATTACCATACGTTGGTGCCGAGGCTGCTAGCACGAATAGAATTCCTCCAAGACTGTCTTTCATTGTAACATTCGAGTGCTCTTAAGTTCATCTGCAAGCTTATCGTGTTTCCCGCGGTTAAGCTATCTCCCGCGAACGCTCTCAATCACCGATCTTGGATAACGCCTTTCCGCCAGAACCAGAGCTCTCCTATTGATAGTACAGAATCTGGGTGGTACACTTTCAAAAATATACGTTTCTTTTCATAAGACACGAAAATCATCTTTCTTGAAGAGAACCATGGCACGGATGGAGATACCTAGTGACAGGAGCGGACAGGGGAGCCCGTCAGTCAACGGTGATGGCGAGCTGTCAAGAAAGAATGCCAAATATTTCCCAAAGAACAGCCCTTGGGAGCCTTTTCGTTCCGTTAAGGTTGAATTACGTCGCGTTCGAACATCTTACTTGCCTTTGCTAATTCGAGATAGATCATCGTGGTGGGGGCTGGCATTGGAGGCATAGCGTCTGCCGTTCTCTTGTCTCATAAGGTGAAGAATTCGACGATCGAAGTGTACGAGCGACAAAGCAGAGCAGTGAGACTTCCACATACCTACTATGTTCGAGTCGGATCCTAACTCTAGACTCAGGGAGGAACATGGGCCGCGAATGTATATCCGGGAGTCCGGTGCGATGTGCCTTCTCATGCCTATCGTGAGTTTTCGCTTCGTCCCATTTGGCTCTTATCGTCTCGCTTCGAATTGGCTGACTTGAGAATGCAGAACTGAGCTGCGAACCGAGCACAGATTGGTCTGAATACTATCCCAAAGGCGCGGAGATCCAGGCATATTACGAGCAGGTAATTAAAAAGCACGGCTTAGATGATTCGGTCCACCTCGAACACGAAATTATCAAAGCTACTTGGCTTTCAGAAGCATCTAGGTGGGCCGTGGAGATTCGAGACTTGGGAAGCGGGGATGTGTTCGTTAACACAGCCGAGTTTCTCGTGAATGCCCAAGGTCGCATCAGCAACCCAAAGTTCCCCAATATTCCTGGACTTCAAAACATCTTCCGAGGAAGGGTCATTCATACTGCACGGTGGCCTGAAGGATTCAAAGTTGCAGGCAAGAGGGTGGCTGTAATTGGAAATGGTGCCTCCGGTCAGCAGATCTTGCCAAATATCCACCCTGAAGTTTCTCATATCGACCATTACGTTCGCACCAAAACGTGGGTTACTCCAACTTTCGCTGGAAACCTTCATGAGGCAACGGCAGATTCTCCTGGAGGTCCAAAGTACACTGACGAGGAGAGACAACGCTTTCGAGAAGATCCAGCCTACTACCTCGAGCATCGCAGAGCTTTCGAGACAAAGTTTCACAATCGTTTTGCGGCAGATGTTATCGGAAGCAAAGAGAATGCCGAGCTGCGGGAGAAGATCATCAAATGCATGAAGGAGCGGCTCAACGGAGACGAAGACTGGCTCCAGAGAGTCCTCCCTGACTATGCCCCGGGATGCAAACGGTTAACCCCCGCACCAGGGTATCTAGAAGCACTACAGTCGGAGAAGGTTGACTATGTGACAGATGTCATTGTGTCTGTAGATGAAACAGGTATCATTACAGCCGATGGCAAGCGACGTGAGGTCGACGTGATCATAGCAGCAACTGGATTCGATACGACTTACTCTGCGGCATTCCCCCTGATTGGTAATGATGGTGTTAATATGGGAGAGAAGTGGGCGCCGAATGGAAACATTGGATATCCAGAGACGTACCTGGGAATCATGGCTCCAGGATTCCCAAACTACTTCACAGTCCTTCAGGTACGTCCAGCATAGGAATGGTAAAAGGAAAGTGACGCTGACATACCATACCTCTAGGCACAAGGCAACGCACGCGGCGGAACCGTACCACTGCAGATTGAGATCGCAGCCACATACATCGCAAAGTGCATCCGCAAGATTCAAACTCAGAGCTATGCGTCCCTCAATCCACGTGAAGAAGCTGCACGGGAGTTCAACGACATAGTCAACGGCTATTTCGACAACAAGGTGACGACTGACAGGTGCAACAGCTGGTTCAAGCAGGGAGCCGGCGCGACTCACGTGCTTATCGCGTGGCCAGGAACATTCCACCACCGCGCCGACATTCTTCGCGATCCCAGGTGGGAAGACTTTGATTTCGCTCGGCGTTTTGGGGCTGCGAAGAATCGGTTCGAGTACTTTGGCAACGGACTGACAGCAAGAGAGGTGAGCAGAGATGAGGAGGACATTACAGGCTATTTAAGGGAGATTGGAAAGATTGATATTGCGACACTACATGAAGCTTGGAATACGTAGCCTTATCTCAGCGATGTCTCCCTTGGATACTTGCCCGGTTGGCACCGATTCGTACCCGCTGTGGAGACCAGCTACGAGGAAGAAGCATTTGAAGTGTTGTAATATGTCTGGTCCGAGGTGAAAGATTCTTATGTTTATAACTTGCCTCCCTACCTATGGTGCCAAATATACACTCTTCCACTTTTCCAATTTCTCGTCTTTGAGCGAGCTCACCGAATCGCCAATGGTGCCATAGGGGCCCCTCCAAGCTCCCTTGAATCCCAGCCAGCCATTCTCCAAGGCCTCTCCAAGGCTCACTGCCTGCCTGCTATCAACCTCATCGGTATGAGAAGCCTCCACATGTTCGATGTGAGTCTCACCCCATTGCTCGTACCACACTTTCAGGCCCGAAATGCTTTCATCTACCATAAGCCTTGCGCTAGTGGCCACCGGAATACCACAGAATAGGTTGTCATAGAAGGGCATCATGTCGCTCCGATCCGGAGACCAAATGTCCCGATATATGTGATGGCTGCGACCGACTAATACAGTACCACGTCCTATGTGAACCTTCTTCGCATCTTGGTAAGACTGAAATGGGTCTGCCAAGTATTGATAGTAGCAATAGATACCCTCTCTACTTGTCGCCAGGTTTTGAAAGGTGCCCGAAAGTATCTTCTTCTCTTTTGAAGGAACCTTCCATGTCTCTTCGGACATCCACCCAGAAAACAAGCCGATGTAGTCCACGACAGTCCATTCCGGATCGATGTACTGTTCAGTCTCAGTTGCAGTGCGGGTGTAACCAGTGATCAGATATCGGAAGTCTCTGTCCCTGTTTTGAAAGAAGCGGCGTAACCCAATTCTCGTTGGATGCAATGGCTCATCTAATATGACGTTTGAGAGCGCGTATGCCAGTCGAATGGAAGCAAGCCAGATTCTTTGGGTTTCAATTGGGATATCGTGCAGTGCTTCATGAATGCCACTTGACGGGTAGGCGCCACGGCTTGTGTGGGGTGACTGATATCTCTCTTGCTCCCTGTCGATGACTTCTGCTGCGAGGTTGCTCGAAAATCCGAGTTCAGGCATCGCAGTAATCAGGCAATCCAAGAGGTCTTGTGGAGAATCATGTTTGCTCAAGTACTCGGAAAGTCGAGGGGAGGATGTGTAGTGTTTGAGCAATACATATCGACCCAGGACCTCAGCCAACAGATGAGTGTCCTTCTGGAGGACGCCGATGATTTCGTCGCCAAAGATTCCTGCAAGAATCTCGTTCTCAGGAACCCGAAGCTTGCAGCCAATGTCACGGCCATTGAGATGTTTGGCCGGGACGCCATATTGCAGTGAATATATCGACTTAGTTTGCAACATCCCTTTGAAAGACCCAGGTCCATCAATCATGAAACGTACTTGATAAGAGTTCTTGCCCTGGTCATAGTTCTGCGCAATTATTCCAAGGCCCTCGTGTTGTCTGTCGAATATTTCTGCCCGTATTCCAAATATCATATCGCACAGAACGTATGCCCAAAGGCAGGAGAACCCACCGGAGACTTCAACTGCTTGGATTTCTCCCCTGATGATTGATCCGATGGTGAGAAGGAATCCTGCGATTTTCCTTGCGTCATTCGCCTCATCCTCGAACTCCCTGCCAACAGGCCAACGGTCCCGGGGGCCAAAGCCCTTGGCAAACCCTAGAACCTTAGTGAGCTGGTTTACCCTGACACCAAATCCAGTTGCGGTAAGGATGCTTGAGCAAATCTCCGAATACACCTGCCATTGTGAAAATGAAGGTGTAAGCTCGGCAGGGCTGCCTGTCAACTTTGCAAGTTCAAAAAGCACTGCTGCTCCAAAGTCAACTGAGAAGCCTTCCGCTAGTGCTGCAGCAATTGCGACACTGGATGCGCCTTCAGATGTTTTTGGCAACTCGCGGAGAATGTGTCTGACCCCAATCCCGAACCAAAGAACATCCCCGAAGGTGCTATAGGCTTTAGTCTTTGATAAAGCATCATGGATAGCCTTTTCTCCTTTAATGCCGATAGGAATCAGAGAAAAGATTCCTTGACATACCACTGCAGTCAGCGGCTCCAGACCGGCACGAGAGAGTCGTGCCAAAACCGCCATCGATGTTTGGACGCTGGTGTTCGAGAGTGCGACCCAGTCCACGGAGCCTTGCTGTGCAAAGCTTGGGTCTGACTGGAGCGGGCCTAGAGACATGGCTTGGTTATATATCCAGAACTGAACGATATTGAAACTTGAATTACAGCCTAGAAACGATGAGGCATGGATTAGAAACAGACGTAAGAGGGCCATACTACCCCGCAGCCATCTCGCAATTTAATGCTGGGCCAAGAGCTCAGTGCCGCCCCTGATTGGATGTCGTCAATATCGTGTCATACGCGCGAGGCTGCCTTTTTTAAGAAGCTGGTTGGCTTATGTGAGGTCATATCTGAGGCCTCAGGCACATTTCTGTCACAGCCTCAGAAATTTACGAAGGAATATGCATCCATGGAACGCCTAGAAGATAAAGGATGGCAATCTGAAGCAAAAAGTTGGGATAACAAACAGACTTCTTATTGACGCCTGACCGCATAGGTCGAAATTCTGTCGTGGCTGTTCATTTCACAACTGACTTCATGGTGGCAACGGGAAGGATACGAGAAAATTGTCAGTCAACTGCCAAGCGAAGCTTTTTAGACGCATCTTGAAGTGAAATCTTTTCGCTTCTCTATTACTGCTGTCTCAAACAAGAACCATTCCGGCCCATTTACCCACTTCAAGTCACTAGGACTTCCTTTCGTATGAAATGAGGCCTCACATAGATTCACTTTGAATTGGTACGATAGTCCCACTAGGATCAAACCCAAAGAATCGAGCCATTGCTAAGTGCACAAAGTGAGCAAAAGCTGAAGTTATAAGGCCTCAAAATATGAAGTGACCAACAGGATATCATCCTACAGATCAGTCGTCGATTCAAGTCGTATGATAGTAGACTTGGGACCTTGCCAACGAAATCGGGGATGTAAATAACGAGAGTTCAGGAGAGTCAAAGAGTGTCGCCTTTTCTCACTTCATCGCCTAGCTGCACATTAGACCCTGAACAGGTTTGGTTTTGATCCATGCCAGGGAAACAAAATAGCAACTAGATAGAATTGAATGCATCATACAAGAACGTGGTTATCAAGATCTAAGGGCTGTGGTTGTAACGATGACGCAAGGCAGGGCGGCCATGGGACCAAACCTCAGTGATTTTGAAATTGAGGTCAATGCCAGAAGTTCAAAAGGACTCCGCATGTTGAAACCAGACCTGAACCATTCCGTAAAGATGCTTTCATGACAGGCAATGACTCTTCACGTTCTTGCAAGTGGGAATAATGCCACTGGCCCACTGGTGTGGGGAGTGGTGGAGAGAATATCCAGTCTAGAACACACCAGTTATGCTGCGCCATGAACAAACCCATTGATATCGTAAGATCACGATCCTTGACAAAGATTTAATGCTGTCATGGTTCGTTGTCGCCTCTTCCTAGCTCGAGAAATAAGAAATATTCGCCCTAGAGGGATAACATCGTTGAATGAGACCCTCCGGAAACGTCTCCGCTTCAAAAACATCCAACGGGCCGAGGCCAAGCCCAATCAACGAGTCTGACTCGCCGCCTGGAAGTTGGTATCCAGAAGATCGGGATCGGGAGCCGCATGGTGATAGACAGGGGCAAACCTCAAAGGGGGAAAGGGAATCTCGGGGGTCGGGAAGAAAAGTCAGGAGATCTGGGCTGGGCCGAGTACGAAGCCGAAGAGAGGGGAGTAAATTTGGAAATGGAACGTTTTTTCCCTCCTCGCCTAGGGATGAGAAATGCAGAGTGTCGTCAAGGAGAAGCTCGGGAGGGCGCCGGGCGGAACGCCATGGACAGGGCCCAATTTCCAAGCTTAGCCGGAGGGAATGTACGGTTATTGAGGTGTGGGAACGAGGATTTGTTTTTCTCTGATGGTCTCTGTGGCTATTGATTGGCCCCTTGCTGAGTTGTGCGCCCCCTTCGTTGGATTGCGGGGAAGGTGAGACACCGCGAACTGGCGAGTTCCCAGACGAGGCGATCCATTCTTCACCTCCTGGCTAAACCCAACATGATCAAATCAGGTACAGGAAAAGTTAGCGAGGAAATTGCTGTCTGCTGAGTGAGGACTGGGGGCCGATTGGGAGACGGGGGAGTGTGTGTTGGTGTCAGTGAGGCATGCAAGCTCATTTTGTCACACAGGAGACAATGCCAGACGAAGGGATGGACGTGGAGCGGGGACAACACACGAGGAGTTCTGGTTTGTTTTGGCTGGAGGGAAAGGGAGCGTCCGGCATGTATAAGAGACTGGAGAGTTTCCGAGTTCAGGACGTTCTTCTTTCTCTCCTCACCCTCACCATCATTACTCCGGCATCCTTAGCCACTCACTCTCGCTTCAGCCTCGATTCTTTCGTTTAGTACCCGAGGTCTTCAGTCACTCTTTACCTGTGTTTTTTCGCTCGTTCATTCGCAATGCATCGTGTGGCGGCTCTTGCCCTTTTGGGCCAGGTCGTTTCTGGCCAGTTGTTCACCAACTCCTCGACCGTCTCGACAACTCGCTCGTCGACTGTGCTCACCTCCTCCTCCACCACCGTGATCACCACGTCCATCCCGACTGTCATCACCTCCGGAAGCTCCACCATCACCACGCTGATCCCGATCACCGAGACCAGCGTCAGTGAGATCGTCTCCGCTTCAACTGATGACAATGGCTTCACCTTCCCCACTGACGGCCCCACCACCGAGGAGACCCCGTCGTCGACGGAGAGCACGGAGTCCGCGTCTGCCACCGAGACCACCGACATCACGACCACGGGTGAGCCCATCAGCTCCACCGACATCCCCTCGGAGACCACCGGCACCGACTCCATCTCCGCCACCGGCACCGAGACTACTGCCACCGGCACTGAGACGGCCACCGGAACCGACTCCACCTCCACCCCGAGCGCCACCGTCGCTCCCAACCCCCAGAACGTTGGCGGCTTCACTCTCCTGGGCTGCTATGGCTCTCCTTCTAGCTTCCCCACCTTCGACCTGACTCTGTCCGCCGAGTCCATGACCATCGACCGCTGCATTGCTGCCTGCCCTGCCGGCAAGCGCTACGCTGGTCTCTTCGGCAACGACTGCTTCTGCGGTGACTTCGTCGATGATGTCAACGAGGTTGCCGTCACCGAAGACGAGTGCAACATCCCCTGCCCCGGCAACCCAAGCCAGCGCTGCGGTGGCCGTGCCTCCGAGGCCGTCCTCAAGCGCCAGATCATCGCCGCTACCATCCGCTTCACCGTCTACGTCCGCGTCGACGGTGCCAGCGGCACCGGCGCTGTCACCACCGCCACCGTCACCACCACCTTCACCGTCACCACCACTGGCACCGCCGGCACCGGAATCGAGGTCGTCACCACCACCTACTGCCCCGTCTGCGCCGACTGCCAGGGCCCCTTCTGCTACAAGCCCAAGACTCCTCTCGTCCCTGGCCAGCCTTGCTGGGGTGACGACTGCTACAAGAAGCTTGTCTGCTACGGTGACTGGTGCACGTGGGACTACCCCTGCTACGGCGACTCCTGCGGACGCCGCCTCGTCTGGGAGAACGACTGCTGGAAGCCCGAGGTCTGCCACGGCGACGACTGTGGCCGCAAGGTCATCTGCTCCAACGGCAACTGCGAGTACGCCACCTGCAACGGCTCCTGCAACAAGGAGAAGATCATCTGCTACGGCGACGTCTGCAAGGTCGAGGAGTGCGAGGGCGACGAGTGCAACAAGAAGTACGTCTGCTCCGACGGCTCGTGCCAGCACCAGACCTGCCCCTACACCGACGTCAACAAGCACTTCGACTGCAAGGACGGCAAGTGCGAGGAGGTTAAGCCCTGCGAGACCTGCAAGCCCGCTCCCCCCTGCACCGGTGACGCCTGCAACATCATCATCACCCCTCCCCCCACCACCCAGGTCGTCTGCAACGGCGATGCCTGCAAGACTGTTGTCGTCACTCCCCCTCCCGTCACCCAGACTCCTTACCCCACTGGCCCTGCTCCCGCTCCTGCTCCTACCGGCGGTAACGGAGGCAACGGCGGCAACGGAGGCAATGGTGGAAACGGCGGCAACGGAGGCAACGGTGGAAACGGCGGCAACGGTGGAAACGGCGGCAACGGTGGAAACGGCGGCAACGGTGGAAACGGAGGAAACGGCGGCAACGGAGGCAACGGAGGCAATGGCGGCAACGGAGGCAACGGTACTCCCGCCCCTGGCCCCGCTCCCACTGGTGCTCCTGCTCCCGGCCCCGCTCCCGCTCCCGGCCCTGCTCCTTCTGGCGCTCCTGCTCCCGGCCCTGGCCCTGCTCCCTCTGGCACCACTCCCGGTGGTGAGGGTGGCAACGGCGGCAACGGAGGAAACGGCGGTAACGGTGGCAACGGAGGCTCTGGCAACGAGGGTGGCAACGGAGGCAACGGCGGTAACGGAGGCAACGGTGGCAACGGCGGCGAGGGTACTCCCACGCCCGGCAAGCCCACCACTGTTGTCACCGCCGGCTCCAGCCAGTCTGTTGCCAGCTTCGGCGCCCTGGCCTTCAGCATCGTTTTCGGTGTTGCCTTCCTCCTGTAAGAAAGGGGCCTCCTGTAAATCGACGAGACGATGTTTCCTTTTTCTCTTCTTCCGGCTCGGCTTCTTTTCGTGAGCCTGGCTTGATAATTCTTTGGACCGGTGGGTTGGGGCAGCTGTATGGAGGGCGGTTTCTAATCGACAGAGGGCTAGCGGTCGTGGATTGGTTATCATTGGACCCCACTGTTTAGCTACCGATGACTTGAGAAATGATTCTGACGATATAGAAAATAAAGCGTTTGTTTCGCACTAAAAGTATGACTTGTCCTTTGTAAAGGTTGCTGTGATGGTGCTTACAGTCGCGCTTGACGGTGAAACTCAAAGCCTCGTCTCGACCACCTTGTGATCTCCCAGTAATGACGGCCCTTCCACTACTTTTCACCCATCTCACGAATTCTCTCCTGTTCCCAAGCCTCCCTCTGCTTCACAGTCTCGGATGACTCGTCCCCAAAGACGGACAGGGCAGCTGGCCAGTCGCCACCCAATCTTCTGACTTTACGGCACCTGGCCAGTCTCACGAAGAACTCCAGCCATCGGTTCGTGGCTGCAACGATAAACCATAGAAGAAGCGTAAAACCCATCATTTGTCTAACCCATCTCGGCGGGACGTAGTAGTGAGCGAGTGCCTCCAAGACCCTGAATAAGCCGGCAGGGCCGTTGTAGTTGCCGTGGGGGCAGTGGCAGTTGACAGGCTCGGGATAACAGGTGATGGGCGCTTGTGGATCCAGGTCGGACATTTTTATCCTGATGATGATTTAGTGGGGTTTGCTGCTTGTGATGCCTGCGAACTTACACTGGGCGCTATTCGGTCACCTTCAACGATGCAGAATCTTGCTCAGAAGCCTTGTCAGAAGTGTTGCTGGAAAGTAAGCTTACTTCTGGTGTTACGCTGATGAGCTCGGACAGATCTCTTCTTTTGATATGAATGGGGTTCTCGGCTAGCGACCCAGCTGAGCGGCGCAGCAACTGGAGGCCTGGCTGTTCGGCCCGGCTTGGTCACTTGGCTCGACAGCCGATTGGCCGCCAACCGCCAGTCGGGCAACGGATGACTTCTTTAAGTCTGACAGAGTCCTCCAGAGTCCTCCATTGGTTTGTACGGCGTAGAGGGCACACATAGTGGGGAGACGTAGAATCCATTCGGCATGTGCGAGCAAACTCGGCAAGTTGTTTGGACTTGAATCTAGCTGGTTATTTTGAGTCGTCATATTGTGAATGTCGATGCACTATGAGCGTGCGATGTTTACCATGATCGATGCTGGGTGCTAGGTATTCCGGAGAGTGTCCGGTCATTTCGGCACTGATCGCCCCACTACGGTGCGGAAGTACGGCGTAGGTGGGGCCGTATCATCCGGCATCCAGAACGGATTCCCATTCATTAGTCAGTCAGAGCGCATCTGCCCCCCCAGTGCACTAGAAGTTATCCAGTTTTATGTATCAGATATCCTTCGAGCTCATGGCCAACATTTCCAAGTTTGAGTTCCATCTCGAAAGGCTGTCAGCGTCATCCTTTAGTAGCAAACGTCGCATATACCCCTTTGCGCGTTTCAGCTCGCGGGAGGTCCAGGCGGCGCTGTAACGGCGCTGGGAGAGCATGAGGTGGAGATGGGGCACGGTTCCAATGGCTCTCCCGTCCTTCATGGGGCGCCTCAGTGTTCCATGCCATGGAAGAAACGGCTACAGCGGACTCGGGGCGCTATTCTGTGGCTAAGCGACGCCTCTTTGGGCGGACAAACTGCCCAAGAGGTGCTAGAGCGGGTGGCAGGTGTTTGGGCAAGTGCCACTCAAGCCACCTCGGTGGAAAGGCAGGTGGCAGGCGGCGGTACTAACGCGGGGCAAGGAAGGAAGGACCTGGACCTAGACCTGGACCTGGACCTTCCACGGCTTGTTGTTGCAGTTTGCAGTTGTAGGTGCAGCAAGTTGCAGGTGCAGCCCAAACACCCGGACAGCTGCACCTTCCTTTCCCCCAAGAAAAAGCACCAGAACACGGCAAGAACGAACGAACGAACGAACGCACAGCACGCACTTGCCATGCAAAACATTGACCTTGATGCACAATCGGTCGCTCCCCAAAGCCAATTCCTCGTCTCTGCTCGTGTGCCTCTCGTTCTTCTCCCTCCTCCCCAACAGCCCCGAACTTTCGTTGCTTGACCATACCGCCGCTCAACCTGACTCTCGCCCACTCCCGTCCGCTCCGCACCGGCGAGGCACTGCGCGACAGGCCCAAGCCAGCCTCCGAGGTCCGTCCAGGAACCAGGCACGGTGCAGACCAAGGCCCATCATCTTCCGAAGGCGACACCGACACGACAAGACACGACACGACACCGGTCAGGACAGAGAGAGACACACACACCGACCGCAGAAGCAAGCAAGGCAGCGAGGCGACTCTGAACTGACACTGACCTTTCCAGACGCGGACGGGCACATGGACGAACTCTATCTTAACCAACATGCCCTCCACGCCCTCCCCCGCGTCGCCCAGCCGTCCAACTTCCGCTTCCACTGCGACCGCCTGCCCTGCTCAAACCGACATTCCTTTTCTTCCCTCTTCTAGTCCTTCTGAACCTGCATCTTCCCTCAATTCACTTCCATCTCACCCGAACTCCAACTCGCCGACAGCGACAGGAACCCGCGCCCGCAGAAACAGAAACACCGCCAAAAACGCCCACTTCCTGCGCCAGGCATCCGAATGGCTCATTGAGCGTTACATCCTCGTCCCTCCAATCCCGTGGGCCATTCCTCTCACCACCGGCTCTCAAACATCACCTCAACACTCACACGATTCGCACCAACTTTCCTCACGTCACCCGGAACACCATCACCTCGACCAAGACGACACGACAAGGACGAGGGCGGAACGCCCGACCCAGTCCGTAATGGCGACGGATCCGGACAGAAATGCAATCGCCGCCCCGTCTGGCTCTCATTCGCAGTCACTTCAGCAGGACCAAGACCATCAACAGCAACAGCAGCAGCAGCAGCAGCAACTCAAGAGGAAATGGAAGAAGATTTGGCTTAGAGGGTTATCGGTCCGCATTCGGCCTCGCAAAGACACTCCGCGACGTGTGACTACCCCACCACCTGGAGCAGCAACACCAACAGCAGCAGTAGCAAGAGGAGGAGCAGTAGCAGCTGGACGTGGAGCAATAGCTGAAGGACAAGGGCCTGCGGGAAACGTCGAGAGGGGCACCCAGACCACCACTGGCCACCAAACACTGCAGAAATCAGAAACGCTTGCGCACCCAAGCGAGTCAGATCGTCTTACGGACTCCGACCCCTCCACCGCCGGGACAGCTAGCCAGCACTCGGCCGCGACTTCCACCACCGCTCAGACCACCGCCGTCCCCTCATCCTCGTCGTCCTCCTCCTCGACATCCCTCAGCGTAAGCGTCGGCGCCTCCATCGGCAACTTTCCATCCTCCTCCGCACCGTGTCCCACCTGTGGCCAGCGCCGCCATGTCGATCTCCACCGACCCCCGACTCCCGTGAAGCCCGAAGACCGCTTCCAATTTCGCTCTGGTGTGCCTTACGGACCATGGACCATCACTCACCCACCGCGCACTCCTGCACCCCAAGCTGCGTGCAGCGAACCGTCCGAAGTTCCCGCCCCAGCCACCAAGGTCGAATGTGCAGCTCCCGCTCCCGGACCCCTCACTGCATTCCACCCCTTCTCCCGACTGCCTCCGGAGCTCCGTTCCAAAATTCTCCGCTTCTACTTGGAACGGCCCCGCATTGTCGAGATTCGGTGCATGAACGATCTGAAGAAGATCCATTTCGCGCCAAATGCCCTGGGAAATCTTGCATCCAACATTGCATGGAGCGCAGACAACACCCTCCCCGCGTTGATGTGGGTGAACCGGGAATGCCGTGCCGAGACACGCGCCTTTTATCGCGTGCAGTTGCCGATGCACCCAACGAATAAGATCGCTTGGCCTGTCATCATCAATCCGGAGTACGATACCGTCATATTTACCTTCCCTTGGAGCAGCGAGATTCCGCTTGATATTTTCCTGAGCGATTGTCTCGCGTTTGACCCTTTGCGTGTGGGCATCCGCCATTTCGGCACCCGCGACAGAGGCGGGCCGGAGACATGGGACCTGACGCCGGTGCCGGGGTGCGCACCGCTGTCCAAGAGCTTGGCCAACCTGGAATCTTACACAGAGGCGATCCAGCTGATGGACGATCGCGCAGCTGCACGGTTTCCGGTGTGGATGATTCACGAGGGTTATCTAACGAGCGGGATTCCCGCGAAGGACGCATTTTACCATGACGTACCCCGACTGCTTCTCAGCAACGACTACGAGCCTCCGGATGCGGCAAATCAGCGCAACGCACTCGAGGCACTTCGGACACAGCTCGGAGACTACCTGCCTGATAAAGTGGCGGAAAATTTGGTGATGCAGAGAATGTTCTACCGCAAGTATTTCCGCCATCTACGGATGAAGTGCACTAAGACGGACCTCGCCGGGTTGGGTATGGTCAGGCAGATTCCAGGAGGAGAGACGGAAGAGTTCTTTCTGAGTAATGGACGAGAGGTAGCTGGCCCACGAAAGAAGAGGAGATCAGCGCTCGAGGTGCGCCCGAGCAGCAGTTGGCATCTGTGGGACGAGGATTAGGGGACTTTCATGGATAAGCTGATGGATTAATGGCGTTTTAAGAAGGATTGGTACAGGTCATATATATCTACGCGCAGGCATTATTTGAAAGACAGCCTGGAAAACAGATCACAGGTCCACAATAGGATTTAGGAATACCAGTCCACTTTTGTGCACTGCCAGTATTCACAGTCAAGGTTCTTTTGCGTGCTCGGGAATCAACAATGTAATTTTTGGCTTGCCTCCTGAAGTAGGCTGGGTATAAGGAGAGTAAAGGCCGCCCTTTTTCTGCAGCACAACACAACATAGGGAGTATATCCGTATCCATGATCTCATACACGTCCGTCATTGTACAGGCATTTCAACCAGTCTTTTCCATCCCATACTCCAATGACCTCTGGCCCCGTCGTCCATCCCATCCCAGAAACATGTACGCCGCCGGTATATGTACAGAAGAAATACAGCGAGGCCGAGCCCAGCTCAAGCCCCGCGTCGATGAGGGGATTAATTACGCAAAACTCTTCCCCTTGAGCTTCTCTTCACTGACCACTGGTTGTGAGATCTTGCCGCCCATCACACCCTTGCCGCCTTCAATGGCGCCGATGTTGTTCCCGCCCTTGCGGCGCTTGAGAAAGTCGCGGAATGTTAACGCGATGTCGAGCCCGGAGATGGAGGACCCGAGGACGAAGACGGTGGACAAGCCGAAGCCGAGCATGAGGGCCAGATCGAAAGGGACGACTTGTGTGAAGCAGAGTGCTACGGAGGACAGGTCTGCGAAGCCGGAGATGACGGAGGCGAAAGATAGGATGAGGAAGAGCTGGTTGACGTAGACTCTGATGTTTGGGAGGGCGGTCAAGGGGATTGGTGGGGTGCGAGCGTTGGGGAGCGGAGGAGGCGCGCGGGCTTTGATGGCGAGGTGGAGGAGAAATGCGCCGATTCCGACGAGAGTTGTGAGGAGGCTGATGATCTATTGTGCATGTTAGTAGATGTTTGGGAGGACTCTCGGGATGGGTTGGACGAACTCCGTGGGCAGTGCGGAAGTGGCCCGACTGGCCAAAGACCAGGACGCCGAAGATGAGGACGACAATCGTTGACGGCGCGATGATGAACAGCCACATTATGTTGTTCCACCTATGCACATTGGGGAGGATGTGTGGAACATTGATGCGGATTAGGAGATTGCGTGCGTGTTCGAGGCCGATGGCGAGGGGAAGGACGTTGATGTAGGCAACGATGGCGAAGAGGACTGGGCGTATGATTAGCCACACAGATCTTTCTTTCTGTTAGTAGAAGGATACTTACTGTGAAGAACGAGGAAAGCAATCCATCCTGGGAGTTTCATCCCGTTAATCTCCACGCCACTCGCAGCACCAATGATGTTGTTGCCCAAAGAGTCCCGGACGATGCCGCCGTCGATGGCGTAGAAGTTGCCGTCGTTCGCAATCTTGATGATGCCCGTCGGGATGGCCTGCTTCAGCACCTTCGTCACGTTGCCGTTGTTGTTGAACTGGTCCAACGCCACAGTCTTGCTCTTCAACAGACCCAGGAAGACGAGTCCCAGACCGCCAACACCTTGGCACGTCAAGGCATTCACACCTGCCTGCGCCGCCATCGAGATGGTTTGCGCGTTGATCACCACGGAGAGGTTGAAGCCGTTTGTCGTGTTGACGGACACCACAGGAGGCACGTTTTGATTGTCCTGGCGCGGAACGAGGCCGAGTCCACGGCGCTGGGGAGGGTTACTCGGCGTCGCCGCCGGCGCTGCGGGTGCCGGCGCTCCTCCCTGTGCCGGTGTCGACGCTTGAGGCATCGGCGTGCCTTGCGGGTTCGCGATGAGGGCAGAGACAACAAGAACACCCTGTCCACCAATACCAACACCAAATCCGCTGGCCGCTCCACCCAGAGAGTCGTCGAACTGGACCTTGGAGTCAGGCAGCCCGTTGGCCGGCATCGTCGCGTTGCCCTTGATGAGGGAGTCCACGCCGCCCATCCCCTGGATCGCATCGCCCGCCCCCTGGAGGAACCCGCGCGCGAAGCCCTGCGCGACCTTGGACACTTCAATCTTCTGCCCGTTGAAGTCGATCGTGGACGGGATGCCGCCGCCGTTCTTCTGCATGTTCATCGACGAGCCGAGCTTGTTGACCAGCTCCGTCGCCGTGCCGTTCTGCAGGAAGCTGCTCGTCAGCCCCTTGGCGAATGTTTGCGAGATGCCGCCAAAATCGATCTGCCCGTCGGGCATCTGCTGCATCGGGATCGCCGCGTCGGGCTGCAACCCCAAGCCGACGGTCGCGCCCTGGCCGAGCCCCTTGCCGAAGCCGGATGCCGCCGCGGGGAGGATGCGCATGATGGTCCGCGTGGTGTTGGGATTGCTCGCCTGGTTGAAGAGCGAGTTGAGGTCGAGGTTGGAGGTGACGGACTTTGTCAGCCCGAAGCCGAAGGTGCCGATGACGTTGGGGATGCTGGAGTCGTTGACGGGCTCGAGGCTGACGGCCGCGTTGGCGTTGAGCTTGAGGCCCGCGACGGTGCCGTTGCCGAGGCCCTGCGCGAGAGACATGGCGATGGGCTGCAGCTGGTTCGTCACGTTGCCCCCGAGGCTGGAGATGTCGACGGAGCCAATAAGCGTGGAGGTCAGCCCGACGCCGAGGTTCTGGATCGCAGGGTTGAGGCCGGTGGCTTCCATCTTGTTGTCCGCGGCGACCTTGGCGGCGATGGCCATCGTTTTCTCCTGCGAGGAGAGGTTGAGGCCCTGGGCTGCGCCGGCGCCGACGCCGATGCCGAGGAACATGGCGGGGCCGTCGAGGTTCTTGACGAGGGAGTTACCAATGTTGGAGAGGCCGTCTTTCAGGGGCTGGAGGAGGGGTGAGAGGATGCCCCCGATGTCTCCGCCAGCGCCGCCGGCACCACCACCTGCTCCTGGGAGTCCTGGTAGTCCTGGCAGACCAGGAAGACCACCACCTCCGCCTCCTGCACCTCCTCCAGGAGCAGGAGCTCCCGGTAGACCTGGAAGGCCGGGTAGTCCAGGGGCAGCGGGAGCTGCACCACCTCCGTCAGCAGCACCAGCAGCACCATTCGCTTGTGCTGTCGCCCCGCCGGTTAACGCGTTTGCCGCCGAGCTGAAGAGGTCGCCTAGACCGCCAAACTGTCTCTTGACCGGTCTCGAACTCTCCGCTGCTGTCTCGTCAGCCTCCTCGCCCAAGCCCTCGAGGCTTCTCTTGATCTTCTCCTTGTAGTCCTGCAGGAGCTGCTTCGTCTCGTCGAGCTGAGGCGACTCGTACCGAGCCGCGAGGGTATCCGACAGGTCGACGGTGAAGTCGACCATGGACATCAGCGTCCGCCGCAGCTTGGGGTCGCTGCCCAGCGCGTCGATCGTCTCTGCGGAGACGATGGAGTCGAGGGCCTGGCCCCACGAGGTCAACTCCCGCTTGGTCACCACCCGGCTGTTGATGTTAGGACGGGGGTATAGTTGGTCCCTGATCTCCCTGCCGACACTGAAGATGGAGAAGACCATCAGAAAGCCTATCATGATGGTCGTCAGGGTGTTGCGGGGCGGTGGAGGAGGAGGTGGTTGCCTCTCCGGAGCCTCTTCTGATGGTGATATTTTGTTGTTCATCTCCATGGTGAAATCCATTGTGGCGGATAGATGGTAGATGACTTGACGTCTACGATGACATTAAAATGGGAGCGGTTTTGGGTATCTCTAATAAGCAAATACGAAAAGCAGAAAAGAGAAGGCTGCCAGCAGTCGTGATGATGAAAAGGGGATTTATGTCGATGTAGCCGGTACAGAATACCAGATAAGGTGAAGAAACAAAAGAACCGGGATCGAAACGCCGAGGGATGAACGATGAGATATAGGAGAGATGGATCACCGTCGAGTAGGATCTCGAGTCTAAAACATGGAGTGACGATCACCGTGATATGGAGCCCTCCGGAAGCCCCCAGGGGGTGTGTGTCGTCCATTCTGCGGCGGGATTCCGCCTGCTTCACAGATTTCATTGGCCCATTCGGTCATGGCAGTGATTGACTGACTTGCAACCGGGGGCCCAGGTGTGGCCCGCCCGGGGTGGACACTTTGTGTAGTGGAAACCAGGAGTAGCCCCCTTGCGAGCGTCCCAGACGTTCTTTGCCGGGGCCGGAAGTGGCCCACTGACAGGCGCACATACAGTCCCACGACGTCAGAAGCAACTTCTACAGAGAAAGGTGGCTTGCGCGTTACGTGGTATCATGTACTGCTACTACATCCGGTGTTGAAGAGACCAAAAGCAGGCGTCGGTGGTCGGAACGGGAGACCGGGGTGGGGGGGTTAGAGAGTTCTGTCAGTGACGGGCAGGCTTTCCGGAGCCAAGAGTGTTTCCAGGAGGTTACAGTTAGGCTATAGAGATGTGTCAACCGAACGCTAAAGAGTACGGTAGAAGGGCTTGTCGTGTTAGTATGTATGGTCGAGAGAGCCCAAGAGGGTAGTTAGAGTTATGTCTGCAGGGGTTGCACGTCCGAGACCCGGCAGAGAGGGAGAGGGAGAGTGGGAGACAGAGTAGGAGAGAAGCAAAACAAGGTTGAATAGAGTAGGTGTGTGCGATGCGAGGTTGGGCTGAATACGTGTACGAGATACGAACTGTTTAGGGCAAGTCAGTCATAGGAGAAGGTGGTTAATGGTGTGTGAGGGTGACATGTGCAGGGAGAAGGGATGAGCAGAGTTGCCATGCAATATGGTGCGCAGAAGAAAGTAGAGAAAAAAAGAAGCACGATTGTCAAGCAGTGGCCCACGATGGGAGTTTCAGACGGTTGAGTGACGTTGCGGCGGTGACTCGGTGATTGGTCGACGGGTGTAAGTGACACTTTTCGCTGACCCGTGGTTGCTGATGTAATGGACGAATTAAGCTGTTTGCTCCATGGATGTTCGACATTACTGTGCAGTAGAGACAGGAAACAGTCCATGGGCCACCCCCGTCTCAGATCAACAACGGTTCCTCAGTGGCGCCAGTGAGGGCTGGTGATGTGACACGATCTGACAAGGAACACAGACGCAGAGACGACAGAGAGACGTAGAGACAGGCGTAAAGACGTCAGGCCCCCTCCATTGGGAAGGTACTTCGGGGAGCGTAGCGCAGGCAGCGGTGTTAGTGTCCGATGTTGTTGGTGTTGGCTGTGTTGTGTTGGTGGGCCACAGCGTCATTCAGGCGCCATGCAACAAGTCACTCTCTGACAGCCAGCCCCAGGGTCCCTGAGCCACTCTGACAGCTCCAGCCTCTCAAAAAAGAAAAGCTCGCAAGATGCCCGCAAGACCTTTCCCAGAGAGGAAAGACCCTGCAAAAACGAGCCGTACTCGGGTTGCTGGGGCTTGCCTACCTGCCACCTCATGGTTGATGTTTGACATTTGACATGTCTCCATCCATACGACAGCGTGCATATCTTAGTAACTACAGAGTACGCAGGCAGTGCTCTCAGTGCCACAGAGCCACAATCAGTTGGCTCACCAGCCTTAGTCAGCCCCTTGGCAGCTACCTAACTAATGGCGACCCGTTACCAGCAGCCACAGAGGCTCTTCCCCTCGGTCGAGTGGCCCGGCGCGGTACGTACCCTTCCGCCTTGAATCCCCCGCCTGATTGCCTGATTGGGGAACCTGCTCATCGTGTCCGAGTTCGTATCATGAAGCACAAACATACCACGACTCTCTCCAGGAACCTTGCTCGACTGTCAAACACGCCGTCTACCCAACTGCTGTACAGCCTCCTTTCCCATTTGCCTCCCGTCTGCGTTTCCCCACACTCGAACCAACATCACGACATACACCGGACGCACCACGCCGCCGTACCCTCCCAACACGGGACCTCGTTCGCCTGCACACCCATTTGATACCTTTGACACCTTCTAGCGTCCGCGGCTTTTTCCACCGCCCTCCAACCGTCGTCCGACCCGTTGCTAGCGCCGTCTTCGGCGTTCGTTGAACCTGTCACGCCTTTACACTCTGCTTGACGTCCAACCTTGTCCACCGCCAAGCTTTACCACCATCTGCCCCCTAATGGAACCAACTCACAACGTGGTTGTTGACACGGCCGGCTTACCAAGCTCGAGCTCGACGTCGTCTCCCTCACATCGACCGATAGGTTTGAACGTCCGCCCAACCCACCAATCTGGTTCTTCGCAAGAACCTGGTGGCTATGACGCCGCGGATGAGACCGAGCACGATCATGGTGCCCATCAAACCCAACGAACCACGGCCATCCCTGCTCCGTCCGCCGCGCGGGTGAAGCCCCCGACGCCTTGGAAGGCACTGAGAGCCTGTAAAGGGTTTGACTTGCGCACATGGGTTGCCGCATCCGGACATGAGCCGATAATAACAACTACTTCGCCTTGCTCGTCGTCGGTGTCGATGCCCTCGTCCCCGTTATCCCCATTGGCGTCCTCCGCAGACGTCAACGCGGACACAACCGCAGCCTTTCAGCGTTTTCCGGACCTGCCCTACGAGTTGCGTTGCAGGATATGGCTTATGTGCCTCTCCTGGCCGCGCATCGTTGTGATCCGCGGCTCCATGGACTGCAACACGCCCGGCAATGAGACGTCCGGCAACAAGTTTGGCAGTGTTGCCTGCAACGCCCACTGGTACTGTGAGAACAGGAGCCCCGTCCTCTTCCGTGTGTGTTCCGAATCTCGCCGCGAGGCGCTGGCCTTCTTCAGGATCCACCTGCCCATGCGCTCCCCCGATCCTGACAGCCACGGCGTCCCGTCCCTGAATCAGCGAAACCCGGCGTGGGACCGGATCTACATCAACCCCGACTGGGACCTCGTCCTCTACCAGGGGGCCACCCCCTCAGTGGCCATCCTTGCCAGCGACCTCCTGGCCTACGATCCCAACCACGAGGGCGTGGCTCACTACGGCGCCCGGGGCATCTGGGACGTCAATCCAGACCCCGGCTTCGGGATGGCCACTCTGAGCGAATCGCTGGCCTTCCTCAAAAGCTTTGTTTTGTGCACCGCTGATACGTCAGACATGGTCCGTCCACTGGGCGAGGGCTACATCCATGCCGTCGCGGGCGAGGTTGGCCAGGAGGGCATGCAGATGATCGACTGGGCGTCGCACTCGCGCATGCTGATGAGGACCCCCAACAACAGCATGGTTCGCAGTGCTTTGGTTCGTAGCAAAGACGTAGAACAGCGCGTGGTCGACGACCTCGTCACGGTCGAGATGAGCGCGCGCTTCCGCAACACCGCCGTGGAGAAAGCACTCAACTCGTCGGCGACAGGCCTGGTGCTCCAGATGGCGTGGCAGCCTCCGGACCGCAAGATTTCCCATGTCATGCACCTGACCACGGCACCGTTAACGGTATGAGTGGCGAGCGTCGATGCTTCTCCTCTCAAACCCCCCTTGAGGTAGGTTTCTATAACTGTTCGCGGGTTTCCTTGTCTGCTACCACAACTCCATCACGGCCCGGTGTCGGCACAGCGTCATACGAAGGGGGGAGAAATAAAAAGTTGGTGACGAAATGTGACTTCGTCGGTCTGTCTCATTGCGTTGCGTTATTGGGATGATATCTTTTTCGTCAATGTTTTACACCTATGATACAACAGACGTCTCTCTTTTTGCTCGGCGTTATTGCCTGAGTGAGAGCGGCTTCAATATTCTCTCCCTGATAACTCTGCCTGCCACATCGGCGCCGTGCTGGAGGGTGATTGCCCCGACAATGGCAAAGACTGCCGAGTTGAGCACAATCTGCTGACCTGATCCGGCAAGGTTTTCAGGCTGAGGAACGTTCGTTCGTTAGCCATACGTGTACGTGTGCGTGTGTTTTGTTTCCGCCCCTGAGAGGGGCCAGGCCTCATGAGACGGTTTGTGAGATCGGCGCTTACCTTTGCCGGCTTCCACCGCAAAACCTTGTCGATGCCAGCATCGAAGGCCAGCTGCTCAATCTTCTCCTTGTTGACGACCTTAACCGGCATCTCGACGTTGAGGTTATCGACCTGGGCCAGGGCCGGGTGCTGGAACGGTTCACGACCATACTCGTCTGGGACGATGGCGCCCTCCTTCTCTGCCGCCACTATGCTTTTTGTGGTCTCGAAGATGATGGCTTGACGACCTGAAAGCGAACACAAACGCCGAGTCAGCTTCAATTACAGCCTTTTTCTCGCTTCAAACCTCCCAATTCCCCTAGGCCCGGACCAAATTACAAGAGAGAGGAAAACCTACCGACATATGCCAGCCTGTCGTTGAAACCTCTGCGGCCCTGGTCGAAGCTCTTGTGTGTAACCGCCAGCCACTTGACCTCCTCAGGCAACATGCTGTCTCCGCCCCTTCCCAAAAACCGCACGTACATCTCGTCCAGCACCTTGGGGTCGTTGTTCACCTTCCAGACCTTGCGCCGGGGGTCGATGGTGATGTGCGGTGAGAAGGGCGCCTTCATGCCCTCGGGTGTGTAGGACCATCTTGGCCGATCCGACTCTTCGCTCCTCCTCGGCAGTTCATTGATCTTGCTGTCGGCGGCGGCCGTCGCAAATGTTCGGGCGGCGAGCAGGCACTGCGGGGCGGGGGAGGATGCTGCGGACGCAATTCGGGGTGCCGATTGGCAATGCCTGAGGGCATGCCTCGTGAGGCCGTATGCTGACCGGGAGGTGGTGGTAGCCATTGGGAGGGTGAGCGGCTGGCTGCGGGATCTTGGTGCTGGTCCGGTGGTTTTTATCCCGCCTGGGGTTGGCAGCTTCATCATGATGCTCCAGAACTTTTTCGCGATGGTCTGCTGCACGGGCCACTTTCAAGGTCACGTGTCTTCGCGCGGAGCGAGGATCATGCGAGCACCGGCACTAGTCCGCTTTGGTGATGGGCTGGGCTGGCGGGCTCCCGTGCGAACCAACGGCAGGGCCCCCTGAACGTTGCAGCTGCCATTCCCTTTCACATTCAATCTCCACTCGCGTCTCCACCCCACTCTGACACGCATGTGAAGGGAGCAGCTCCCGTCAGCGACGCGTCCAACGGATTGGCAGACACGGCTCCTTTTTTCCTTTGGTGGTCGACGACGTTTGCACTTTTTGCAACTACAATGGTATGACAATTGCTAGGGAAGAACTGGCTCCCGTCGATATTTTGCTTCTGATCCATCATGGCGACACCCAATCGAGCCAAAACCACCGCCCAGAGCAGCGCTCTGCTCGTTGAGAAGCTGGCGGCCGTCCTGCCAAAGGGCTACCGGTTCGGCGTCTACCACCTCTCGACACCACCTACCAAGTCGCAAGCGCTCTACTCTGCTCCCCCGGACGAGCGAGACGACAGGACTTTTTGCGAGAAGCACTTCCTTGCCATTTCGATCGATTCTCGACCAAAGACGACCGACGAGGCCTCCCAAGACATCGCGGCCAAGGACACCGACGCGAAGCAGGTTCTCGTCTTGGCATTGGAGGTGTACATCTACACGACTGCTTACTCGAGTACAATCTTCGTCGCCAAAGCCGATTCGACCGGCTACCTGAAGCTGCTCAACCTTCCCAAAGGCACACCGTCTCCGATCAAGGAAATCAGCAGCGCCTTTGTCACATACCTCGTCGAGCAGCGCCGACGCAAGGGCATCCAAACGGTCGTCAGCTTGTTCGCCCGCGCACAGAACCAATACCTCTTCCCCGGCAGCGTCGACTACAGCGGCAAGCATGTACTCGATGACAGGGGACTCGTCAAGTGGTGGTGCAAGGTGCTGGACCCCCTCCTCGAGAAGCCTCCCGTGGGCAATGGCGAACCGTGGGGTTCCGTGAAAGGATACCTCGTCATTCCAGGCCTCGACGACTACGAGACGAAAGCTTTTATTCCCCGGGGACCGAAGAGTGCTGGCAATTGGGTGCTGGGACACGCTCTCGAGAAGATATCGCATTACACGAAGGAGTACGACTGGGTCCCGGCAAGGTGTCTCATCCCTCGGTTCCCCGACGACCCCAAGTCTAGATTCAGAGATGAGCTGGATGAGGAGGCCGGCAAGTCGAAACAGGTCAAGACGACCGGGTTGTGGAAAAGCGTAAAGACGCTCGAGACGTTCTGGGAGATGATGGCTTTCAGACAAGAGTGCTCGAGCGGACGTTTGACAGGCTTCATCTGGGCAGTCTTTGACCCTGAAGATGAGAAGGATGAGCAGCCCCGGCGCGAAAGCGCAGCATCGACTTTGCCCACGCCAAACCCGTCGTTCGACCCGTCCAACCCACCCACGACCCCGTCCCGTCAGAAGGCAGTCCGACCCACCACTCCCATGTCGACTCCGCGAAAGCTGTTCCCCGTGTCGCCATCAGGGACGCCGACTAAGAAGTCGGGGGAGAAGAAGTCTGAAGAGAAGAAGAGCCAGAAGAAAAAGAAGAAGACCGGAATCGTCATGACCCGTCAACCTCGCATCAAGAAGCATCAGCGCAACTACCTGCTCGACAAACCCATCTCCACTGCGTACTACTACTGGCCAGCCGAAGGTCGAGGTCGCAGGATCGTGGATGAAGCCGGCTACAAACGGACGAACGAGCTGCTTCTTCACCTCGACTTCTCGAAGCTAGAGCTCGCGACTGGCAGCACCCGCCGCTGGATCAACGAGGTCGGCATGGGTGAGACCTGGGGACTGGATGTAGTGGGCAAGCGAGAGATTCCTACGCCGGTATCAAAAGAGTCGTCTGCTGGAGAGGTGAATAACCTCTCCGGCTTGATTAAGCGTAAGCGGCTCGATGATGCGGCAAAGGATGAGCCGGCCAACAAGGTTAACGTCCTCGCGACCGGTCTTGTTCGGAAGAAGCCCAAGACGGAGGAGGCTGCGGACGAGAAGAATGCTGAAGAGACACCGGCTGTGAATGTGCTGGGTGGGGGACTGATCCGCAAGAGGCCCAAGGCAGACGATGTCAAGAAGGCTGAAGAGGTGCCGGCGGTCAAGGCAGATGCTTGAGTTGTATGTGGATTTTATTGATTGCTTGGGAAGCACGGCGTTGGTAAGATATCAGGATCAGGATGGCTTGGCTCGGGTTGATGTCACGGAATGCCATGGGAAGGAAATTGGAGACCTGCGTGTGGCCCAGGTAATGGCCTTGGACGAACATGCACAACACATTGCACGAGACATGGGTGTCATAGAACATAGTGCTGCTTGAAATCCCTCTGATAATAGAAGCATTGCTTAAAAATGGAGAACCATATGCCATCAACGACGCCAACACCATCGGACCCGGGCCGGCGATGTAATCCACACTCCGTGTCTAAGCCAAACACCGGCTAAAAAAGCCTGCATGGCAATAGCAATATAGCGATCTAGAATTAGCGAGATATTTTTCTACCTAACCTGTATTCAAGTCAATCCATTGATGGATAATCTTTGGGTAGAACGCCTCGGCCAGTGTTCCCGCGTGTTTGCGTGTTTGGTTGAGACAGCGGCGTCTTGCTTAAGGTATGGAGAGATTATCAGACCATTCAGACATCAGCTAACGTTCGCGGGGCCCCGGAGCCGTCACCTGCCCCCCACACGGATGGGCTGAGATGCAAAAGTCGGGAAAATAGCCAAGAGCCGCTTCAGCTGGGCGAGCCTAGACCGATCGTCATCCTCACCCCACAACTTTGCCCTGCTGCACCCCATCGGCGGGGTCGGCTGGGTTTATTCCCCGCGAACACTTGCGGGCGGTGTTGTTCGATTTCATACCTATTCATTTTCCAGACAACTATGGGCATTTGCAGTCGCATACCACCAGTTAGCATGTTCTTATGAGACCAAAGCAATATTTCTAAGGTTAGGACTGCCGAACGGTTATCTTACGAAGTGAGAGCAATATGCATTATCGGGGCCAGCCAAACACAATGACAGCCCAGCTCAACGCACCATGGAATAAGAAAGTGTCACAACCAGCAAGCGAACCGGCCCGGGCGAGTGGAGAGACCAACCTGTGGCCAAGATCGGAAGAGTTCACGTCCAAGAGGCGCAAGACGCGCCCAATCTCGCCTCATCCCCTCACCGACCACCCCAATCGTGATTCCACCAATGCTGCCTTGCTCTTGTGTCACTTCAAATAGCGCATAACTGCCCAGTAATTCCATTTTAATCCATCTCTATTGTTGCAGCCTTATCGGACGACTTCAAGTGGTTTACCCACGTGGCTGCATTATCTACCATCAGTTGTTCTCGCTAGCCCAGCTATCGGGAGCCATCCTTGTCATCCCATATCTATTGCATCGCGACCCAACTTGCGCGGCTCCGGAACTCATCACCATCCTCATCTTCAAACTCATCTACATCGGAAATCATGGCAGAACCAAACAATACACCCTATCCTCCGGCAACACCAGCCGCCCAAACGCCGCGCTCTGCATCCCCCCACCAGCCCCATCCCGTCCTCGCGCCTCCCCCAGCGCCCCTGCCCAGCACCCAAAAGCCCAAGGTCCTTCACATCGGCGATCCCATCAAATACAACCCGGATACATACGCCACCTTCGCCGCGCAATTCGAGGTCATCCGCCCATCAACCCCGGACCGCCAGCGCCCCGCCTTCGCCGCCGCCCTCCGGGACCGCAAGTGGGGCGACTTCTCCGCCGTCTTCCGCCCCTTCTGGGGCACCGGCGGCGAAATGGGCAAGTGGGACGCCGAGCTGGTCCCGCTTCTCCCGCCCACCTGCCGCGTCTTCGCGAGCGCCGGCGCAGGCTTCGACTGGGCCGACACCCAGCTCCTCGGCGAGCGGGGGGTGGTGTACTGCAACTCCGGGCTGGCGGCCGCGGAGGCCGTCGCGGATTTCGCGGTCGCGATGGTCATCTCGACGTTTAGGCACTTACCGTGGTGCATGGGGGCCGCGGGCGACGCGGCGGCCTTTCAGGACTGCCATGCGCGGGCGACGGGGGTGTCGCATACTTTGCGGAGCCAGGTGCTGGGGCTCGTGGGGTTCGGCAACATTGGGCAGCAGATTGCACAGAGGCTCGGTGTGGGATTTGGGATGGCGGTGCATTACTTCGACCTGATCAGGAAGGACGAGGCGACGGAGGGGGCGTATAAGGCGACGTTCCATCCGACCTTGGAGGCGCTGTTGCAGAGCTCGGATTGCGTTGTTCTGTGCACGCCGGCGGGAGGCAAGGTCATCACCAAGGAGTCGCTGGCGTGGTTCAAGCCCGGGGCGCGGTTCGTGAACATCGCGAGGGGCAGTCTTGTGGACGAGGAGGCGTTGGCGGACGCGCTTGAGGACGGGCGTTTGAGCGCCGTCGCGCTGGATGTTCACGAGAACGAGCCGAAGCCGCATGCGCGATTGGTAGCTATGGCGGGGACGAAGGCGATGCTGACTTGTCACAATGCCGGTGGGACGGTTGAGACGCATGCTGGGTTTGAGGAGTTGAGTATGAGGAACATCATGGCTATTTTGGGCGGAGGAGAGCCGATCACGCCGGTCAACTTGCAATATCTGAGGAAATGAGTCGCCATGAAGTGTGTTGGAGTAGTGTTGACGCTGTTAATGTGTCATGATGGTGTTTACAAGTTACGATGCAACAAACGAAAGAGAACGTCTTTATTGTACACATGAGTGCGCATAGCATTCGCTCAATTTCATGCGAATTGACCAGCCCGACTATAGCATTCACTTACAGGCGACTGTACATCGGTTGTGACCTACGAGTGATGCTAGTTGATGAGTGTCTTTTTGGTAAGCTGTCCTTACTGCGAACCCCAAGTTATTTAACTCCCCGTTTCGTTTCTAACTTGTAGTAACTTATATTAAATGAGTCTCTCATAATGTTCTGAAGTTTCAGGCATCACACAGGCAACCGTTAGGACGATAGGACTCTGACTCACGAGACAGAATACGACTTCATGATTGGAGACAAATTTGGCTGGAAGGATGTCTCAGATTCATTTTCTTCCTGCTCTTCAATGCAGTAGATATGGATGAAAATTAAAACAGCTGTGTGCGACCAATGTGCTGTGATGATCAGTGAATTTGAACGGTGCTGGTTCACAGCTGTGATTGATGATCTGTTATGAACAGTCATCAAATCTCGATGAGGCAGCTACCCAGAGCAGACAGTTTTGAGGAAAGTTGAGCTTTTTCTGCCCGCGTATAGCATCAATCTTATAACTCGCAAGAGAGTTGGCCATCACTTATTGACAGCCCCCTCTTGGCCTTTTACCAATGGAATCACGCAATACACGAAATCGGCCGAAACGATTTCTCTTCTTGGCACTGAAATGCTTCAGATGGCGTCGTCTGGTGGCACTAGCTGTGCAAGTAGGAAGCCTATGCTCCCATCTGCCCGACCAGCTGCCCCAGATTACCCAATTGCGGAGTTTTCAGCCCTTTCATCCGACTCTCTGTGCGCCTCGCGGATCGGCTTGCTCCGAACATTTAAGCATTTACATATGCTTTAGAACACATGGGATGAAGCACTGCAAACAAGCTTGGCGTTGGTGAACTCTCTTCGTACTAGTAGACAAAACACCTCATGTTTGACCAAGGCCGTTGGACAGAGTTAAACATGTTTCTTCGCCCTTGCCTAAATCCCCGTCCTTAGCACAATGGCTCAAGTTCACCTTACCCACGACAATCTTAGTGTGTGGGAAGGACTTTAGGAAAGGTCCGACGGAGCGACCCGTACTTGGGTAAAGAAAGCGCAGTGCCATTCCCTCACTTCTCGCCTGCGGATTAAGCATTCGGTTGGAAACATGCCGGCGTCGTGGGATTGGAGAGTTTACTATATCCCTTTAAATATTAATATTCTGCTCGAGAGCGTTGACTCGTCATTGTGAACTGTTAAGCGGGATCGACTTTCTTCAATCCCATTTAAGACAGTATGATCCTCTTCGGGCCATCTTGCCTTTTTCTCTCGGCCGAAGACTTTGCTCCGGAATCCATGTAACAGCACCTGCATACTCCACGCTCACCAACTACGCATTTCCATCATTCATTGAATCAAGATGCAGGGCTACGTCGCTCTTTTGCTTCTGGGAGGAATCTCACGCCCCGCTCTGGCATTTTCTCTCGCCGAAGACCCCCAGTTTCCGTTCAAAGTCCCAGCCTTGGACGCCAACAGATCGCCATGCCCCGTCCTCAACGCACTAGCTAACCATGGCTACCTTCCACGAGACGGAATGAATATCAATATGGAACAACTGAAGTTTGCCTTCACTAAAGCCCTCAACATCGACGAGAAGGTCACCGTCAAGCTTGCCGAGCCAACCTTCCCTATTTCGACCACCGGCAACTCGAGCACGGTCAACCTGAAAGACATGGAAAAACACAACGTTATCGAGCACGATGGAAGTCTCTCGCGCGAAGATGTTGCCGTGACTGGCAACGCGAACAAGTTTGACGCGCGCGTGTGGAACGGGGTCAAGGCCCACTTCACCGGGGAGACGATTGATACCAAGACGATGGCTATCGCGCGGAAGGACAGGGTTGCAGTGGCAATGAAGACGAACCCGACATTCAACATGACGGAGGCGCAGCTGAAGCTGTCGTTCGCCGAATCTGCGTTCATCTTGGGTGTTCTTGCAGGAGACTTCCAGAACCCCCAGGCGCCGACGAAGTACATGAACGTCATGTTTGAGCAGGAGAGGTTTCCGTTTGACGAGGGGTTCAAGACTTCGGCTACCAAGGTTACTGGTGATCAGGTTGATATGTTGGTGGCGGCCATGATGAAGGTCACACCGCCATAGGATGTACTTCTGCTTCGGTGTACGGGGTTACTTGGAAACAATAGGGCGCTTTACAATGACGAAATAGAACCATGACCAATTATGACCAAACATTTCACTAGTGATTGTAGTCTCGCAGCTTTATTGCATGTCAAAACGTCCTTCTCATTCCAGTCTGCGACGAGAATTCGCTGCCTGACGACCTTCTCTCCATTGCTAAATCTGCAGAGCTTCTGGTAATCCCGCGAGTTTTACTGCTTTCTCACCAACCAAAGATCAAACCAGTCAATCATAGCACGTAGACTTTGCTCTTTGCACCACCCTAATGTGAAATGAGATTAGCGAATGGTGCTCGCTCGGGAACTGGTTAAACTCACGTTGATACGGATCAGCAGGGTCGCCCTTCACAGCAAACCCGTGCCCCACGCCATAGAAAAGCTGCACATGGTAGGCCTTTTGTTCGCGCTGAAGAACGTCGACGGCCTTCCGCCGAGACTCGGTGTTGAACGCTTGATCATTCTCGGCACAAGAAAGCAGCAATGGTTCTAGTCACGTCAGTCATCAAATCATCTAGATAAAGCTTGCCCCGGAAAACCTACTCTTGAGATTTGAGAAATGCTCCTCCTTCAAGGCCGTAGGGTGGGCAAATGCACCGGCCGACACCACCGGCTCACCATCTCCAGCCGCACCGGCGAGAAGATCACATACAAATGGTGCACCGAAGCAGTACCCCGTGCAAGCATAGCGGGTCTCCGTGCCGGCCACCTGGCCGCCAAACTTCTCGCGCACTGCATTCGTCCACTTGGGCACGTTCTGAGTTGCAAACGTCCAGTGCTTCGTGCGCCAAGCAGCGTGATCAAACCCGGGTGGCAGCGGATCAGACTTGTTGGTGCGATACTTGGAAATTGGGTCCTATGTCCCGATGATTAGTAGCGGCTTGTGACCCGGAGTGATGTACCCACCCCACGGAAGTAATCCATGCCAAGCGCCGTGTACCCGGCGGACGCGAAGCCGTCCATCAGCAGCTTGGCATTGACCGAGAGGCCCCACACGTCCGGGAAGTAGAGCACGACGTGACCGTTGGGAGAGGAACCCATGTCGGTAGGCCGGACGACGTAAGTCGGCACCTCAATTATGTCCTCAACCTTTCCGGCGGGGTTGCCGTCATGGATGGTGCCTGTGAAGCAGCATGGCCCGGGTGGCTTTGCGAGGTACTCTTGATCGTCGGACTTGGTTTGGGCCATTTTTGGTCAATCGAAAGCTTTCGTTTTGGGTATTGGAACACAATTGAGGACAGGTTTAGTGGACCTTTTGAGTTATTTCCTCAAGTTGAGGTAGTCTTGGATGGGGCCGGGGAGTTTAAGATCGATGCCGGCTCGGCACCGATGTTCGTGCGGGGTTTCAAGGGCGGCGCAAACAAAGAGCCCACGGACATGGAGATACTGAATGGAAACTTGAAGTGCAACGGACCAAAGTAATTATGACCGGCCAAAACATGCCCGAACCACTTGACTTGTCGGAGTTAATTGAATTAGCCCAGAGATTTAGAGCAGGCGTCGTTACTCATCATCGGCTGTGGTGTTGAATGTAATCCACCGTCAATTGGTTTGCTGGAGAGAAGCTGCTCGACTATCTTCTCTCCTAAACTTTGATATCTATCATGACCACCTACAGACTAATCCGTGTCATCTCTAAGTGTCGTTTCAATCGGACTACTCAAATGTTAAGAGGTGCAACTTTTACAAATTTTATTGGCTATTTCTAATCCGAGTCGGCCGTCATCCATCAAAAGAGTCTACGCATTTTTACCGAAGCCCCAGGAGATTCACCACCAAATCTGATTGATTCCCTGTGCTAAATTTTGTGCTGATGCATCATTTATTTTGCTTCTACTTGAGTTTGTGGAATTCGAGAGCTGTCTTGCGAAATTTGTCAGTCGCATTCCTTATCTCGCGAAGTTGAGCGCGCCCGCCGAGATCGGCTTGATGGAAAATAACGACTGAGTACGGCTTGCCTAAACCAAGAATTCTCTAGGTGAAATTTCAAATACTTAGCACAAAAGGCCATCAAGAATCAATTCCAGTTCATCTCAGTTTCCCCGTTGTGCCCAAGCAAACGATCCAGAGAAGGAACCATGCAGCTAGGTTTGGCCGCAGGGCTACTGACGACCTTGCTGGATGCCGATCTCGCTGTGAACGAGTCAACTGACCTCGCAAACAACAGCTGACACCTTGAGGGCAACTCAAGAAAACTTCGCCTCAGCAGCACTGCAACACACATTATCCGACCTTCCCCACGGAGCCAGAGCCAATTCCTAGCCAACACATGGTCTGTCATTTACATTATGCTGTTTGGCCAACATGTTTCACCTTCTCGACTTGCCAGCGGAGATCCTCCTACACGTCATTTCACAGTTCGCTGATCCCGATCGTGGAAGGTACCAATCTGTCCATGAGCGCAGAATTTGTGGCGACGACACTCTTGATGTGGCCCGTCTGCATCACGATTTGGCCGCTATGGCTGCTCTTTGCCGGACTAGCCACACACTCAGAGACTTGACGGAGCCGTTTCTTTTCAGCTTTGTTTGGCTTCCGCAGCCCACGATTAGACAGCTTCTGTCCATCATGAGATGTTGGGATTTACGCCCAATAAAATCGAAATATGTCAGGCGGCTGGTATGTGAGCCTATATCTGCCGATGACTACATGTCAAAAGAGGACGCCGCTGTCGTAATTCGTTCGGCTTCCAAAATGAATGTTGAACTACCAGATGGCTGGGCTCAATCGCATAACAACATTGACCTGGCCACTGAAATCCTGGCACTTCGGGCTATCAATGTGGAGAGCCTCGAATTGAACTTTCGGCGCGTTGGGAGCACTCTTTTCAAATGTCTTATCCCGGGTACAGGGGCGATGAGCATTCGACCGCCACGTTTTAGGTACCTTCGACATTTACATCTGCTGAAAATGCCTCATGAGAACTTCTTCAAAGACGAAGGAATTCAACACATTCTAGACGAAGCACCAAGTCTTACGAGTCTAGAGACAAGCGGGATCACCTTTAATCCTTCGCGACCTTTCAAAGCTCCAAATCTGACCACATACAGGCTCAGCTTGGACGCTAGTCGCCCCCAATCCAACGCACCAGAGCACGTCGTGTCATCAATTTCCAGACTTGCTCATTTAGAAGTCAAAACCAAGGCGTTTATGAGTACTCAAAAAGCAGGCCTTATATTGAGGGCACTTCGACGGCATGCTAGTACGCTGCAGACACTCTCGATGCCAATAGGTCCACAGCCGCAAGATCACGATGCCTTGGAACCCCTGCGAGAGTTGATCAACTTGACCACTTTCGAAATTGTTATCCCGCACCCCTGGGCCGAGGAGGCGCGCAGTATGCCACATCTTTGTTTACCGCCCTCCCTAAGGACACTCAGACTGGTAGTCACTATGAATCACCCTACCGAGATGCCAATCATCGCTGAGTGGGCGATGAAAATGCGAAGGTTTGGGTCCCCGGGACTTCGAGTTCTCATTGTAGGCGAGGACTTCGACAGTAAAGTTGCGATAAAGGGTTACATCATGACTACGTTGAAAGAGTTTGACTGCGAAGAGGTTGTGAAAGAGCAATTCAAGGAGTTTCAGAGAAGGAAACAGGCAAATGAAAACAAGCATAGGCGTCAAAGACCGGGCGACTCTGATTCTGATGATTCATTTCAACAGACAGCGATCATATGAGAACATAGTAGAGATGAGAAGTTAGTAAGCTAGAAGAAAACATAGCCACCCCGACTTAAAACTAGCGGTTTCATCCTCACGGCCACATATACTGCCTAACCACTTCGCACATTCGCAACCCATCGCCATGGAACCTGTTGGGTCCAACGTCCCAAGATTCATCTCGATTATTCACCCGGATAGTAAAGCTAGCCTAAGGTCGATGGAAAATTCACATAAAATCCTTCAATGCATCATCCAATGTCCTGCTTTCCCTCAGCGGCTCCGCTTGGCCCTTCTTAGGTAGGCCTATCTTGTTGTGCCAGACAACCTTGAACCCTGCCTCGGTTGCACCCTCGACATCTCCATTACTCCCAGCCACAAATAGTACCTCGTCTGCCGAAACGCCAAGCTCAGGTAAGATGGCATGGTATGCCTGGAGCACCGGCTTGTAGAACCCGCTCTCCTCAGCTGTGATGGCCGCGTCGAACCTGAAGTTCCTCTGCTCGTTCTCCATAACCGCCTTCTCCGCATTTCTCACCGCCATATTGCCCTCCTCTCTGGAACAATTCGTGACGACGCCCAACTTGTAGCCCTTCTTCCGCAAACGCGACAGGACATCGCCAACCTCTGGCCATGCCTCCAGATTGGGCCAGTCCCTGATCAGAGCCTCGGGTGCAGATCGTGGCAAGTTGACGTCGTCCGCAGCCTGCATCACCAAAGCCTCGTACGGGGCATATGCTCCTTGACCGAAGGTCAATTCCAGATAACGCTCTCGCCATTTGCGACCGTCTGCAGCCGTCCCTGTTGGCGTCGAAGCATTCCATATAGTCCATGAGTCGAGCAACGCTGTTAGGAGATCGAAGATGATGGCTTTAGGAGTGAACGACGGTGAAGTTGTGGTGGACATAGTTGCAGGCAAAGAAGTATTCTGGGTATGCGCAAGTAGAGAATATGTCATTGAGAAATGGTAGGTGATATTCTACCGGATTGGCATTGAATATAAAGACTCGGCAATACCTGGAGCTTTGGTGTTCACGTAAGCATTTAGGCTGTAATTAGCAAGGGAAGCTGTTAACACGCCGTCCGGTACCGGACTTGTGCGGCTGCATTCTATTGCTAACGGTTATAAGAAAGATTCTGGGTCTTTGATAGTTATTGACAGATTCGGGATGAGCAATGTAGCTAGGTAGAAGACGCGTGCGGCCTTTTTGAGTTTTGACCTTGAGCAACAACCGCACCCCAAAGGGTGGTTCTTAGGAATGAGTGGTACGAATGTCTCGACAGCACGTGATTCAAGCCGATGAAATGTACTTAAAACTTTTCTTTCTTTTGCTCGATCCTGATTTCCAACATATTTCGCTGTTTCATTAGAGATTCGCTAGCCGACTGTCAGTTGCCTATTCCGGCAGTCTCGACGACACACGCGTTTGATCCTTCTATCCTCCTATCATCATCGTCTTTTATCATCGCTACTCGTCGCTACGCCTTTCGTTTTCTCTACTACCATTGTCCCTATCGAAGAATTAGGTACGCTACGATCAAAATCATATGGGACACTGCCTGAATAGCCAACTGACACTGCCCGGCTAGCAAAACTCTTTCATTGACCTTTTCCATCGCCCATGCTCGCTTCCAGACGGGCTGATTTGTATCATGATGGAAATCAACTCTACGGCCACTGATATTTCCAACTCTGTGATGCCCACTGCAAGGCTTCTTTCAGCCTTTCCCAAATTTTCACAGTTTCCAACAGAAATACGACTAATGATATGGAGGGAGTTCTATCTCGAACCAAGATACTTCGAAGTTCGTTGGAAATGTGGAATAAAATCTTCCAGCATACACCTTCGGGCACATGTCCAAAATCATTCCATTCATCATGTGGGCTCTCGGCGTCATTACTTTACAGCCATCGACACAACAATCAATCGCGAGTCGTACTTAGTGGCTACGAAGATCCGGCCCCGGTTCTGGCTTCCGATGTGGTGCAGTCCGACTTATGCTTCAACGTGGTCAACTATCCCATCTGTTGAAACGGTCCCAGATGTATTAATTAATTGGGAAGTTGATTATTTGCAACTCAATCTTCATATACCAATAATCGGCAGACTGGTCGAATGCAGTCCCTGGCGCGAATGCCGTCCCACGAGCTGGTTTAGTGATATACACAAACTTGACCTGCGTAACCTATCGACACCCGAAACAGATAGATATAGCATGTCGAGGCTGCGACAGCGCTTCCTGAATCTACGGGAGGTGAGGTGGAGCACCGAAGAGGGTACGACGTTTTTCAAATCGTAATTTATGGGCCTAATACACCCGTTTAAATTGCTCTAGCGTCTTGTTGTATAGCCGGAATTCATCAATCTAAAAGTGGTTTTGGAAGGAACAACGAAGATCCAAATGTGACACTTAAAAGCAAGATTTTGCGACAGAAATCCATCTGGAGTTTAACTATGCGCGATCGCAAGTATTGCTGATCCACGCTCGCATGAAGACAATCGCCCCAAGTCTTGCCGCCTGAGGTTCTGTGAGATTCCACATCTCCAAAACATCAAGATTTACGTAGACAAAGTTCGATGCTCGTATGGTTGCTTACGTATCTCAGGTAGCGTAGAGGTGTTGCTGCACAAACTTATTCGCACTTAGGACCAGTAAACTGCTCAGCTTGCCCATCTTCAAACTACGGTTATCATGGAAGATTTGCTTCTTATTGCAGTTTACGACTCGATATGGAAAAAGCGGACGAGTAAGCAAACGAAGAGCACAATGTAGTTAGAAACAAAAAGGAACATTTGTTTGGCTGCCTTTGAGGGTTTTACCGAGTACAACTTTGTAGTAAAGAAGAAGTTCTTTCCTCGATTGCAGGGCCCGCCAAAAGGCGACATACTACCGTCTCAGTCTGCTGATAATAGTGAATCTAGAGTGCGAGCAAACGAATCAATCGCCTTGATTTAAAGCTCAAACTCACTTATTGCCCGCTTCTAGCATCTTTTCTGCGCTAACGTGGGGCTTGCTACCACGCTGACTGGAAGATCAGCAACTCGCAGCAAGCTTCCCCTCTCCGGACCGAACCCCCAGCAGCCAAGCCATGCAGCTTCACTTGAAATGCCACAGTAATCTTCCACTTCAGAAACCAGTCGCAGTGCAGTTTGTCAATACCAAGACTTTTAGCAAGATATTAATGCTACATCAAGTGCAACCCCGCGCATATGCCCCTGACGATGGCCAAACAATACGATGCAAAGCATCATCTGCTGATTTCATCACCTCATCAGAAGCTTTCTCAAAGATCTGTGCAGGGGCAGCAAGTACTTATTGACAAGAATTGCCGCGTTTTTCAGACCTGCCCTGAGATCTGCGACACATGTTTTGTCCCAGATCCATTGACAGTTATCATGGGTCGCCTGAGTGTTTCAAACGTCATCACTGCCGCTCTCACAATTGTGAGAGTGGCTATGGCCGTATATACGGAACTCCCTAGTGACTTGACTGAGGTCGATATTATAATAGCTGGAGGCAAGTCATGATCCTCATCCAAGATTGATTCCCGACTAACATACTTGCAGGTGGCACAGCTGGGAGCATAATTGCGTCCCGTCTTGCTGAAGTAGACGCCTCTACTACTATCCTTGTCATTGAGCAGGGAGGAGACAGCTATAATGTGACGAACGTCATCTATCCGGCCTTGTTTGAGCGCAACACCTTGCCCGAGTCAGATACAGCGCTCTTTTGGAAAGCAAACAAAGCGCCGCAACTGGCAGATCGCGAGCCCATCGTTGAGACTGGAGGTATTTTAGGCGGTGGGTCATCAATCAATTGGATGGTATACACCCGCGGGCAGTGGGATGACTTCGACTCGTGGAATACTTCTGGGTGGACTGCTGAAGACGTCCTGCCGTATTTGAAGAAGGTTAGCTTGGTAACCAGAGCCTGTGTTTGCGGCAGCATGACGAGTATCTCTCATTGTTTAGACGACAAGCTAATGGTTTGCTGCAATTATAGACGGAGACATACCATGGAGCAACAACCAATGAGTCAACCCACGGTTACAGCGGACCAATTCACGTATCCAAAGGAACCCACGAGGCACCTCGTGCTGAAGCCAGTTTCATTGAAGGCGCCACAAAGACTGGGTTCGAGGAGATTGTCGATCTTCAGAGTCTACATTCTAACAACGGTTCTGGCCCATGGTATCGTTACGTATCGCCCGAAGACGGTCGTCGCCAGGATGTTGGTCACCGATACTTACATCCTCTTCTTCAAAGCGGCGACTATCCCAACCTCCACGTGCTGGTTGAGTCCCAAGTTCTTCGTGTGTTATTCGATGACACCAAGCGTGCTACTGGTGTCGATTTCCGACCAAATCCCAATTTTGCGAAGGCAGGTCAAGACAACAATACTAGAACCATCTCGGCGAAGAAGCTTGTGGTTGCTTCTGCTGGCTCCTTTGGGACACCGCTTCTTCTCGAGCGTTCAGGAGTTGGTGATCCCGCAGTTCTTGAGAAAGCTAAAGTACCTCTGGTTGAATCTCTTCCAGGAGTGGGCAACGATTTTCAAGGCATGGGCACATCTCTTTTTTTCGTGGGCCTGTATGCTGACATCTTACAGACCACCATTTTGTTGGCTATGTCTACCGCACTTCTTTGACCCAGAATGAGACGATCAACGGCATCGCCCGCAACGATCGCGGCCGCGATGTTCCCGCCATGATTGCCGCTGATGATCCGCAACTGGGGTGGAACGGCCATGACGCATCCAGCAAGCTTCGTCCATCTCCAGCAGACATTGCAGCTTTGGGGCCCGAGTTTCAAAAAGTGTGGGACAGAGACTTCAAAGACTCGCCCAACCGCCCTCTCATGATCTGGGGTCTCTTCAACGCATTTTTCGGCGACCCTTCGATCTTGCCCGACGATGCAGAGTATGTCACTACCGCACCGTGGGTGACGTACCCGTACGCCAGGGGACACGTTCACATTACTGGTCCTACTATTGATGATGGTTACGATTTCGACCCAGGCTGGCTGTTGGACGAAAACGACATCGACCTGAAGAGTCACATCTGGGGCTACAAGACCCAGAGAAAGATGGCTCGTCAGATGGACATCTTCAGAGGCGAACTTGTTTCAGGACAGCCGAAGTTTCCTGAAGGGTCAAAGGCTGCTGTCATAGAAGTCGCAGATGGCCCGATTGGAGAGGAGATTGAATACTCAGCCGAAGATGAGGCCGCCATCGTGCAGTACATTCGAGAAAACATCGGCACTTCGAGGCATCCTTTGGGGACCTGCAAGATGGCACCACGGGAAGCTACGGGAGTTGGTAAGACACGAAATCCAAGATATCGCTGAGGTCTTTGCTGATGTATCGCAGTTGATGCCCATCTGAATGTGTATGGCGTTTCCGGCCTCAAGATTGCCGATCTCAGCGTGCCACCACACCAAGTTGCTGCCAACACGTACAATACGGCTCTGATGCTTGGAGAAAAGGCAGCAGACATGATCATACAGGAGCTGGGACTTGCCTGAGACTGTGCTTTCTGCCACACAGGCTGGTGTGGTTGACTTCTCATGGCAGGAATTCCGCACAATGTCCTCGATACGAGCCTCACATATCACTCCGCTGGCCATCTCCACAGTCAATCAATGGAATCGTATTCCCTTGTCTCCACCTTCAATTATGGTATTCTTGAGTTGCGTTACAGTCCAGGGAACATTGCGCCATCCCGCACCATGTCCCAGTATTATCTCGTGATCCGCGTATCCAGGGACCATGCGCACTATTCTTCAAAGGTGCTGGACGTCCGTGAGGGCCAAGCAAAAGATCTTCTGGCCAACAGGCCCCAATCGCCAGCCAATCCCCGCCTGGCATCAAGCTTACCTCCAATTAACGGCGATCGCCAGTCTTATCCGTCGGCCGAGAAACCCCACATGCGGGAAACTTTCTCGGCACTTTATGCTTATGAGTGATGGCGCGATTGCAAAAGGTCGATCTGATTAGGAAAGTGGTAATCGATCCTTCACACCCGGCAGGTGGACAAGGGCCTCGACGGGCCTGACGGGTAGCTGATAGGGTGTGGAGAGCAAATAAATGAAAGGAGGGTACCGTGTTGGTTGCCCTCCAATCACCAACTCCCGTCTTGGCGCGTCCGGAGCCGATGTGGGGTCTCCAGGTGCCGAACTCCCGTGTTGCCGCCCCGCTGCCCGATGGGAATAAAGCTTGATGCGACTTCAACACCAGGGGGGCGCTCACGATACTTCCGGATTAGGGAGGAGCTTTGTTCACGATGGATACGGCTATGCTGCGTGGTAGACGCGCTCCCGCGCCTCGAACGAACGACACTCGGCAAACCGGCATCGCGATATCTACTCACCTGCGATAAGGAGGATAGTGGCAATGGAAACATCGCGGGCCTCGCTGAAGACAACCTGCCGAGACATCGTTGCAGTTCATCGTCAACAGGTATAAAGATGGACTCAAATCGCCAAGACAAGTGAAGGTTGGAATCAGCAGCAGCAGCATCCTCAGCAGCAAAGCAAGAGCCTCAAGCATCAAACTTCATTCCTCAAGTCCTCTCTCTCCGGTCTTCACTCCTCCCACCCCAACTTTCAAGATGAAGTTCTCCCTCTTCCTCGCTGCCGCCGCCGCCGGCCTCGCCTCCGCCGCCCCGGGCACTCCCCTCAAGCAGCGCGACTACTCCCCGGTCACCCCCCGCTCCGACCGCCGCGCCCGCTTCAGCTCCAAGCCCATCAACCGCACCTCCACCGCCCCCGCCGACGTCGTCTCCCTCGACGCCGTCACCGGCGACAAGAACGTCGAGTACTCCTCCAACTGGGGCGGCGCCGTCAAGATCGGCACCGGCTACAACCACGTCACCGGCACCATCGTCGTCCCCGAGGTCAGCGGCTCCTCCGGCGCCGCCGCCTCCGCCTGGGTCGGCATCGACGGCGACACCTGCCAGACCGCCATTCTCCAGACCGGCGTCTCCTTTTACTCCGACGGCACCTTCGACGCCTGGTACGAGTGGATCCCCGACTACGCCTACAGCTTCAGCGGCTTCAGCGTCAGCGTCGGCGACTCCATCCGCATGACCGTTGACGCCACCTCCAAGACCAAGGGCACCGCCAAGCTTGAGAACCTGACCACCGGCAAGACCGTCACCCACACCTTCTCCAGCACCCCCTCCACCCTCTGCGAGACCAACGCCGAGTGGATCGTCGAGGCCTTCCAGGAGAACGGCAGCCAGGTCACCCTCGCCGACTTCGGCACCGTCAAGTTCACTGCCGCCGCTGCCTCCGGCACCTCCGGCTCCACCACCCCCGCCGGCGCCACCATCATCGACATCTCCGAGGACGGCGGCAAAACCGTCCTTGCCAAGGCCTCCGTCAGCGGCAGCACCGTCACTGTCTCTTACTCCGGTTAAATTTAGCCTCTTTGATCTGACTAGGAGACTGGCTTCGTGAGCCAAAAGACACACAAACATACCACATGTACATAGACTTGAGGAGATGGACATACATGGCTTTTCTTCGTGGGATGGAGTGACTGACATCACCCTCATTCTTATTATTGGATAGTATTCAGGGTTGGACAGCGAGAGATGAGAATTGATGAATGATGCTTGATGCTGCTTGATGCTGAAGCTTCTCCTTCCGTGATTCCCAGTGTACATGGCAGACGTGGGCCAGTAAGCCGTTTGTCTAAGTTCTAGTCTTCGCTATAACCATCAGCGGTCCCTTCAGATCACTCACTCCAACACTCATCATCTCAGGCAGCCTGCCTAAGAAATGCCCTTTTGAAACTTCCTCCATTTCTTGCGGATCGGCAAGCTGGAAGTCAAACTCATGCAACAGTGTGCTAGCAAGTTTGTAGATGTTGGTCTGAGCAAGTGCTTTTCCAATACACTGGCGGCTGCCCAGGCCAAAGTGCATGAGATACCGCGCGCGTTCCGCAATCTCCTCTTGGTCCCAGCGAGACGGGTCGAACACATCGTGGTCATCACCCCAGACACGTGGATTGTGGTGAAAGGCGTGATTACAGACAGCAACCGATGTCTGTCAGGAAATTCCGTTAGCGTCTTCACATGTTCAGGGAAAGTCAACTCACCCCTTGCTTGATGTGGCGTCCTGCAACCACGATGCCCTCTGGTGCTGTCACGCGCCTTGCCAGCGGCATGGTAAACACGGGAGTCAGTCGGAAGTTCTCCTTTACACACGCTCGTAGAAACGGCAGCGAGTTCTCGACTTCGGTGACTGAATATGCCGCCTTTTCTCTGTCAAGTGGTTGTAAGTTCGCATCAATCTCCTCGACACATTGGCGAAGAGAATCAGGGCTGTGGAGCAGATTCCAGAACAGCAGTGTCGTTGTCGCACTTGTCGTATGTGTTCCCGCAATACTGCTCCTAGTCAGTTTCGTGATAATATTCTGAGAGAGAGTGAGAAACCAAACTCACATGAACCCAAAAGCCTCCGCCTCAAGATCGCTCTTCGCAAGTCTCTCCCCGGTATCAGGATGCTTCGCCAATATCAAATTAGTCAATAAATCAGTCCTCCGCATGCTCCCCTTCTCCGCGTCGCGATCCACCTCACCAAGCCGCCTCTCAACACACTCAGCCGCCAACCTCGCACATTTGGCGCGCCCCTCAAACAGCCATTGCAGCCCGCTGTGCGGGACTGCCGGAAGCCACCTCTTCAGCGTCTGCGTCATCGCCGGCCACGATCCCGTCGTTGAGCCGAGGAGCGTGTGCGGCACGACGGGCGGGACGAGGGACTCGCTCTCGTCCGAGACCTGGGCGCCGAAGGAGCGGCTGAAGGCCAGCTCGCCGAGGACGTCGATGGTGTAGTACTGAAGCAGCTTCTTCAGGTCAAAGGCTTTTCCTTCACTCGAGAGCTGCGTGATTTTGTCGCGGAGGATCTTGACGTTGGCGTCGAGGTAGTGCTCCATGCCCTTGACGCTGGATAAGGAGAACGAGTTGGACATGTGACGTCGGCGGATGGAGTGAAGCTGTTGACCTTGTTCAGCAAAAGGCCTTGCAAAACAACACCGGAAAGGACATAGTTACTTCGACATTTCTCATGCCAAAGACATTCGGTATTTTGGCCCCAAACGCATCGTAGTACTCCGTCTTGGGCAGTCGCCGCCCGCCCTTCTGATACACCAGAGGAACCACCTCCTCAGCCGTGATGCTCAACTTATCTGGCCCATAGCGCACAAACTCCCCATATTTCGCGTGAAGTTCAGTCAGATTGTAGGGCTGCTGCAGCGAAAGAAACTCATTCACCTGCCACAAGTCCGTGAGAGACGCCCAGAAGGGCCCCGGGTATGCAGCAAGGGGATGAAGATATCTCTGGTAAATCACATACGCAAACACGCCGGCTACGACAGCCCCCGGAAGCAGGCCGACCAGAGACACTGGGGCATCACTTAGCAACTTGAGTATCGAGGACATGATGGCTTGTCAATGGGTTCCGAAAGGATAAAAACACATGTCATCCGAAACTCAGCATTGCATGATCAAGTCTTTATCTACCAGAAACAGATGCCCCGGTTGTCATCTGCCGAGTCTATCCTACAGAAAGAGCTGCATTGGTAAACTCTGCTAACCGAATCTCCCGGGTTCGCTGCGGTGACAAGTGCGGGGGAGAGGACGTCGGATGCCGCGATACCCTTGTCGATTCCCCTGCTATTTGTGAACCGGGCGGAAAACCTGGGGTGCATAAGGGTCTGCGGGGAAAACTATTTGAAAAGCGGGTGACATTTCGTAATCACAGCCATGTTGGTGATGTACACTAACATAGGCGGCTGATTAAATATGAAAAGGCAGCTGCCAGCATCATCAGTTCATGCTCAAGCTGGGTCCTGGACTTTGCTCTGCAGCACTGCGTGGGATGTGCGGATGTTGGGTTGGGCCAACCATAAATACTGTGGGGTTCGGCTCTGTTGATGGAAACAAGACAGATATGCTCAGAACCGTGGAACTCAAAGGGCGCCACGTCACCATTTACTAGAGACGTCTTGGTACATGCCTTGAGCGGAGTCGACTCCGGCGTACCCAACATGACAGAATGCGGTCGCACAATGACACTAGAAATTAAAGGACGGACCATCCGTTCCCTCATCATAAATCGCTGAGCGAACATGGGACCAAGGGGACGGTATCAAGAAATAGCATGTGCTCCCGCGTCGGTAGCTCCCGGACTTCCCCCATCATGTGGGGGACAGCGCCCGACGATACCTCAAGAGGCAATTTTCGCTGCTTCGAACACTTTACGTATGTGATCAACCGTAAACAACGTTTCATGGACCACGGGGATCTCGCATGTCCAGTATTCCGTCTGCCGAAACTCGCGACAGTGACTGCGCGTTCCATGTGACAAGTTGATAGTTCTGGCTCTTGATCGACGAGAATCCGATGCTGACATATACCAAATGAACCATGGTCCAATTCAGAATCGCAATTCGCAGCCAAGCTTTAAGGGTGCAACGCAATTGAAGAGCCTCCCGCTCAGCCCTATGATCCATCATTGGCACGGGCGGTGGGCGCTCGAACTTCGGGCACGTCGGGTACGTTTGCTTAGCATATTCGGGAAGTTGGTCGGATTTCGTGACCGTAGACCGTCCGTCTTCAATAAGCCTTTCGCGTTCGGAATTTCATTCCCGTATTCGGATCAGGTGAGCGTGGATTCGCGCGTGTAATCTCCGCTAGACCACCGCACGCGCAGTAGACGTGCTTACTCAATCGGACGGTGTTTGACTGCCAGTGCGACGGAATTGAATTGACGGCACGAAGCGTGCCGAAGATTGGCTTTGGAACTCCTTTCGCCATACGCTAGTCTCTTTCGTAATGTATTGCATTTCGTCCCGTCAAATTCTTGTTTCGGGCCCGTTCGTTGCATGTACGACAGAGGACCAAGTCACGAATAGTATAAAATCATGTGATTGAAGCACTAGGCAACCGCAATTCAAGATTCGTGGATTGTCCAGTTGATTTGAATCATAGATCAGATTTGCTTTGTACGAAGACGAAACGTAAAGCTCTATACACAGCAAACCCAACAGGCCCAAGTGGACCTGGGTTCGACAGACGCCTCAGTACTCTGTGGACCGTCCATTAAGGCTTGAGAAGCAAACAGCAAACAGACCATGAAAAGAAAAGAAAAAAAACTAGGCATTGACTATGAACTGCCAAATGACCAAGAACAAAAGCTTATCAAGACGAGATAATGAAATGTCCGTTATAGTTGTGGTGTTTGTAAATGTGTGATGATATGGTATACTTGAAGTGAAATGGGAACGAGGGCATCCTCGGGATGGTATCATAGGTTTGTGCCCTTTGTCTGCCGTAGCAGTAACTTGTCCGGGGGTTTTCTCTTGTTTTCTTTTTTCCGTGTTCCGTTTTTGCGCCGTTCAATCACCCACTTGGTTTTGTTGAAGGATAAAGGAATAGAACTAGCCGCCCTGTCATCTGGTAAATCCTGGCCACATACAAAGTGAAATCGTCGCTCGTTCAAACGGAGGCGGACTTGACGTCGCCCTCGAAAGGCTGAGGTTGAGAAGAATCGGTTTCAGGCTGCTCCCTCTTCTTCTTGCCCAGGCGCTCACACCATTCCTCAGCACTGACAATGGTGCCATCAAGGACACCACTAACTTGGAACATCATGTCAAGACCCTCCTTGGCGAGAACCAAGACACGATGGGCACCTTCACGCATCGCCTCCTCTTGTGCCTCGGCGCCAGTCTTATCGCCCTGTTGCTTTTCAAGGGCGCTAGCGTAGCGGAAGCGTTGCGGGAGCGTGGTCAAATGGCGATGGACTAGGAGACGCGCGTTCTCGGGGAGAGCGCCGCCAGCATACTTGGAGACGGTCTCGATGCAGTTTTTCAGGGTCTTCAAGATGTCACCCTTGAGGCCACTGATCTGGCCCGCCAACTGGGCACGCTTTTGATGCTCCGCTGCCTCGGTATCACTGTCGGTCATGGTGTGGTCGCCGTCGCCGTTCTCGCCCTGGCTCTCAGATCGACCAGCTTTCTCATACTGCTCGAGAACCGTCTTGAGATTGTTGATGACACCACCAAGATGGCCGTTAGCCCACCGCAACCAGCTCAGGCAGTATTTTAGACTCCGAAGACTTTCTTCACTCATGGCGATACTGAGACCAGACGTAGACATGATGAGTCGAGATTGCCATGCAGTGTTAGAGCTGTTGGGCCTCTCAGCCTTCTCGTCTTCAGTGTAAGCGGGTGAGCGGTAGTCATCGTACGCGGGCAGCGTATCGATGGTGCTCGCTCTGGAGAGTCGGCGGTCATGCTTGAACACGTAGGGGTCTCGTGGAGAGTCGATATCAGGCATGACGTTCGTTTGCGAATCGGCCAAGTGCCTAGCCAAGTCGCCTCCGGTATCGACCTTGCGTCTCTTGTGAGAACCCCCATCAGCGGCTTCCAAGTCTGTGGATTGGTGTCGCCGATTCGCCCCCAGCCACCAACGAACACCAGTCTCAATACCCGTCTTCCGACTAATGTTCCCAGCGACGTTTGTGATTGGTGTCATGTATCCTTCGACGTATTCGGCGCTAGTCTTGAATCGAGGAGAGAAGGTCTTTCCATTGTTGTAGAGTCCGGCGGTATTCTTGATGGTGTTGGCGATCATAGGATGAGATGTCGTCAAAAGCGATAGGAGGGGCTCTTCGGCGGATGTTTGCGAGCTCGCTTGCGGGTTCGAAGTTATGGAGATCGCCGGAGAGCCTACTGGCAACGGGGTATGATATGGTTGTGGTGAGTTGATGGAGTGGTCATCACCTATTCATACCGTCAGCAAGTTACAGTAATCACGAACAGGTCACTAGTTGCATACCAGCTTTCAGATCGCCAAGCGCTTCAGCAGCCATTCGCACATCTGGGTCCTCGAGAAGAACGCTGCGTTCTCGTGTATCGTAGTATCGATCTGGTGATGCAGCACTCATAGGAGTATTGTTGCTTAGGTCGAGGTCCATTCTCGCTGTAGTGTTGGCAGGTTGAGCATGACTGGGGGTGTAGTAGGTGGTGAGGGGATTGAGGCTCGGCCAGTGCGTTAGAGGAACGGTCGTCGTCGAGGCTCGCGTAAGAGCAGGTGGAGGTTGTTGAGGCTGCGGTTGTTGGCGACGATGTTTGGCTTCGAGGGACTGCGACGGAGGTGGTGGTGGTGGTGGAGGAGGAGCAAAGCGCGGGGGCGGGGGACCTGTTACAGACGACAAAGATGGTAGGTTGTGGCCGACGTTATCATTATGTTTGGCGGCGGGAAGGATGGGTGCAAGCTCGGTAGTCGGAGCGTCGGGAAACCTCAGCAAGTTGGGATCGTGGGACTGGGCATGCGCATAGCTCGGAGGAGCATATGAGGGCAGCTGGGACGGGAGGTGTGTCGGGTCGTAGCGAGCGTGGGAGAGAACGTGCTTGACCTTGGAAGATGAAGGCTTTGCTGGAGAGGAAGCGGCGGTAGTCGAAGAAGTACCGGCAGCTGAAGTGGTGGTAGCGGCAGGAGAAAAAGTAGTAGTGTGAGGGCGAGGACGAGAGTGCGTGTGAGGGTGGTGGTCGTGGTGGTGGTTGTGCGTGTGCGTAGTGGGCAGAGGAGGGACAGACGAGGAAGATGGCGGCAGCTGGCGGTCGCCAGAGTTGGGCCCGTGCAGCATGTGATTTTGGCTCATGCTCATGCTCATGCTCTGGCTCAGACTCTTGTCCATCTCGCAAAGTATATTCGGACGGCGCGTCGAATATTTTGGCGGGGAGGGGTCAGCGGAGAAGAGACTGCGGGCTAGGCTGGGCTGGCCGGACTCTGCTCAGGTTCCCCCAGCTGGAAAATTCCCCAGGCGGCAGAGAAGGGAGAAGGAAAAGACTCGAGAAGCAGGCCGAGGAGGAGGACCAGGAGCGAGACCGGCGCGCGGGTGTCTCAGCGGTCAACTCTGGACTGGCATGAGTGGAGATGCGACTTGCCCGGCGCCGTTTGGTTTGATTGAGATTGTTGAGGAATTTTTTTTCGCAAGCCTCTTTCTTGCTCGCGGCGTCCTTCTGTTCTCGAGGTAAAGTTGCAACGTGCTTGCAGCAGACACACAGGCTTTGGCTTCGACGTGGAGTGGAGGGCGTGTGCAGATTGGGCGGCGGCAGCGGGACGGGTCAGATTTGAAGCGAGGGAGAGAAGAAGGGGTGAGGGTGGCTGCGGGCGGCGCGACAGAGGTTCATGTAGTACGGTTTGGGCGAAGTGGCGAAGGATAATTCACACGACGGAGGGGATTCCCACGCGGACAAGGGAGGGCGGCAGGAGCTGGAGATGGATGGGGGGTTTCGGGGTACAGCCGCCGAACAACTGGAGCCTCCTGTCTGTCTGGTGTCTTGAGGAGCCCGACTGTCGATGTGAGTGTGATGGCGAATATGGCGGATGCTTGCTTGGTTGCTTGCTTGAGATGCCTTTTGCCCTTGATGAATGAAGGGGATGTGTGGACCGCTCGGGATGGCTGGTTGGTGGTGCTGATGGTTGGTGGTGGTGGTGGTCGGGATGGGGGTGGGAAGGAAGAGTCCGTCCGTCGAGTAGCGCCAGATTTGGGACGTGTGAACAGTTGGCGTTGGTTTAGATTATGGTGTGGTGTTGATGCTTTCCCCAGGTCCAGATGGGACGGAGATGGCGATGATGGGTGTATCCGTCTGTCTGTCTGCCTGTCTGTCGGCCTGTCTCTCTCTGGGTGTCCTGCTGGTGGAGGTGTGTCTCTGGTGACTGATCTCTGTTCCTGCGGTTGTGTCTGTGGTGTGAGGTGTGGTGGGCGCGCGCGGGCGGGAAACAAGGTCGGTGCCGTCCTGGCTTGCACGATGTACAAGCAGAGGAGAGCAACACGACAGAAGGGAGGGATGACGGGTTGACTCGATGATTGATAGATAGCTGATGGATCTGACCTGGTAACCCGGCCCTGTGCCTGGCCCTCGGCCTGCTGTTGATTGACTGATTGATTGAATTGCCCTTGAAGGCGACGGGGGTCAGAGGGGAACGGCGGCAGGTGCACCAGCCCGGCGGATATGGAGCAGGAGCAGGCGCGATGACATGGAAAACGAGGCAAGTGCCCCCCCAGGGCAGTCGAGAGCGAGGGCAGGCGCGATAGTGGGACCGCCTGCCTTCCTTCTTTCCTGGGTAGGCACCAACAACACACTAAAGGTACCGGCTGCCGGGAAGGCACCATTTTAGGATGGGCCTGCCCCAACACGAACCAACCGCACTGCAGCAACACAGGCAAGAGGCGAGGAGCATGAAAAGACACCACGACACTGAGGTAAGTGCTTGATAGTTAGTCACTGCTTCCTTCGTTTTGACACGAGCGACGACGAGGTTGCCTATTTCACCTTACGCATGAGTACGATACGATACGGCCAGCTCTCTGGCATGCAGTCCATCTCAGTTCCCCGACTGCAACATCTGCAACATCCAACACATGAGGGTGACATTCTTCCGGTATTCTGCCCGCCTCTCGTCTGCCCAGCTGTTTGATTCATCAATCTATCCTCGGTGGGGGTGATAACACGCCTCCAGAGGGGGGAACCAGTCAGACTCAGACTCAGACTCAGAGAATTCATCAGCACCCTGACCTCTGTCAGATCGACCTCCCCCATATGCCCACATTCCAGCACTTACAGCCTCCGAGTGGCGGTGATGGGGGTCCGACGTATCCCCCTCAAACCTGCCCCCAGCACGTCCAATCAACTGCCAACTGCCCGTCCACGTTCCCGTTTGTGGACAGGTCAGCCGCCCTCCATCTGCAGTCTTGCGTCCCGTCTGCATCGCTGGTGCAGCAGCAGCGGCAGCAGCAGCTACATCAACAGCAGAACCAGCAGCTGTCCATCTCGCTGGGAGCCTGCAGGGTCCGAGGCACTGGCTGCCTGCCGTCCTACCTACGGATACCTAGTGTTTGTTTCTGCCCACTGAGGTGACATGACAAGCTCGCCCGACGAGGTCGCAGAAATAGCCGACGACGTTGGGGTGGGAGTCGGTTACACCAAGAAACAAATTCGAACTCCGGGAGTCAGCTTGTTGTCAGGCCTCAGAACCCCAGTCCATCCGTCAGACAGCCGGCAACCCCCCATCCCCTTCCCTCTCCTCCCCAAAACCTAACCTTACCTCGCGTTGCAGCTGACAGATGATTACTCCCTAGGGCGGGCGGTGCTGAGTGCTGAACAGCAGCGCTGAGCGACACGTTGGTGGCCCAACGTCTGTCTCCAAAAGTCTCACCCAGTCTCAGTCTCACGATGCGCCGACACCTCTGGCCTGACGGCTGCAGACCGCATCTTTGTGCGTCGACCACCCGCATAAATTATTTTCTTTTCCTCGGTCAACAATGTGTGTAGCCGCTTACTTACGCCCCCTCAAGGCACATGCATGCGCGCCCAGCAGAATTGGGGCGGAAAACTTTCGAATAATGGCGATGCCCATTTGCTGCTGCTGTTGATCGCTTGAATCCTTCTGCAAGTCTCCTACCTACCATATTTTTTTTTCAACCGCTGCTATCAACGCACCGCAGGGAAGCACCTCGTTGCCCGTCGTCGAGGGAGTGCCCTGACACAGGTCGGGCTGGTTGGTACATGGTCTCAGGGGTGAAGAGAAGATCAGGGCCAAAGTTGGGGAAGCACGTGTCAGACCTCTTTGGGGCCGTCATCACATGCATCTGACTGGACGGGATGAACAAGTCTCTTAGCATGTGCAGCAGTGGCGCTGTTAGTGTTTCCATATATTGCCTACCGGGGCGCCTAACACTTGTCCCCGTCAACCGTCACGGGACACCAACGGTCGCCCAGCCGGCATTCGGCCCCAGACGCAAAAGAGGCCAGCGCGTCTGTTGATTGGTCTGTTTCTTGCCTCTCGCTACGTCACCCCAGGCACGGACGCCTTCTTTCCATGTGAAAGCGTAAAAAATGGACGGAAGGACCATCCACCAGACAGGACACCCACGCCATGTTGAGACTTGGAGACAGCCTGACTTTCATGTTTTTTTTTTCCTTCTCATCGTTCCCCTTGTCTTCCTTCACCCGTCCCTATTGTTCCCTTGGACTGTCTGATGTTTTCCCCCAGCCATTGTGTCTCGATCCCTCGTACCGACACCGGATCGCAACACGCAATATCACGTGCGAAAGTCTTGGAGTTGGAGAAATGGAGAAAGGGGGGCCAGATGACCATCAACCGACCATGCAATTTTGTCAAGATCCGCCCCAGGGTCCAGTCGGTTCTCGCTGACGTCCCGAACACTGACTATTTTCCATGGATTTTCCATGCCTACCTTATTCCTCCCAAACGCAAAATGCCATCTCCGCCGGCTTCCGCTAGCAGGAGTCGCCTTCACGCAACCCACCCATTGCCTTCGGTTTCGCTGGGAGCCCGCCACTGGCTTGTTTCTCGTGAACCACTGACGGCCCTGACCTGACCATGCGGTTCCTTGCCAGATCATAAGTGTGGGGAACTGATTGGCACCACACGATACAGATATACACGATACACGCACGTACATGCATATCCGGACACACTCCGGCTTCGAAAGAGGCCACCATCAGCGGAGCGTCGGAGACAACGGAACTCGGGGGTCGGAGCCAGCACTCTCCCACGAGCCATGGCCCATGGCAGAAGACCTGCTTGAGGTGCCCGACCACCTCTGCCAAGAGTCCCTGGTATTGCATGTGTTTGGAAACAAACTCCCCCATTTCCAAGGCCTGCGTGCCACCTGCCTGCTGCCCTCATCCCGCCTCGCCTCTCTCGCCATCCGGCTTCTGCTCAGCGTTCGGTTCGGTTGTTCGACTGCAATGCGCGACTCAGGCGCATCTGCTACCCGCTATTCCTGACTAGTTTTCCGGCACGATTTTTGGCCATGTGATGACATCTCAGACCCGAACAAGTGGATCGGCCGCGTTTCCTATCAGAGCACGAGCTCCCAAACTGCCCGTCCTCCCAATTTTCACGAGATAAACTCGCAGGTTGGCTCCGGCTCAAGATTGGGGGGCGTCTAACTCTGCATGGCTGGATAATGATGATGATGAGGGAGGGGGGTGTGATGCCCATCGCAGCCTCTATCGAAGTATACTCCATCAAAAAGTGCGGCGCACATACATACACATGGATAGCACCCAACATCTAAGATCTGCCAGCGGGCCGGGCGTCGCCCACCGCAACCTTCCCCTTGCCTTATGGCTGTCAGGAGGACATTGCATGAGGGTTTACACTGGAAGAGGCCAGCCGCAGAAACTCAAGCAGGACCCTTCTGCTAGCTCCGAACCAAAGGGCAGAAGGGCACCTGTCAGCGGAGCTCCAGCCTTCAGCTCGTGAGCCTCGGCGTCAGGAACTGGCTGAAAAGCCGCAGGGCCGACATTCCATGCATAGAAGCCGCGCTTGTGATAGAACCCTTCTGGCCGTAGATGTTGGGTTGTTGCGACGGGTCATCTGGCAGCTGTCTGTCGCAGCAAGGCAACAGCTCGTCGGCAAATCATGTCAAGGGAAAACAAAAGCGGCATGATGAAGACGAATACGGAAATTCCGACGTAGTATGTCTGGTCCCTCTGACACCGCCCAAGCAACAGTCGCATTTTCCGCCCGAAAGCAAGAAACACGGTACGCGGGCAGTTCTTATGGAACCAATTAGTTTTCCTCTACGCGTCTCGAAATCGCAGTTATCACATCAACGACGACACGAATGATCCCAGCAGAATGCCAGTCCAATCGTGGTTTGAATAATGCGCTGCACTGTCTAATGGACGCGGTGAAGAAGAGAAGAAACAAACGAGCAATGGCCGTGAGGAAAATTTTGGGATGTAGGCCAGCCGCGCCCCACAGTCCGGTCAAAGCACGTGATCTAGCACTGCGCGCCTCTGGAAGATTACATAAGACACCCGCCCGACTTCTATCTGCCTGCTTACGCTACGGAGAGGCGCCACAGACTCGCGCCACAGCGACAGCAGCCACCTATTGCCCAAGACGTAAGGCTGTCATTGCATGGCCCGTGCACCCTACCTTCCAAGGAGACATCGTGGTTTCAATGTCGCCAGCTTCCTGCGCGCGGTCACCACGACACGACCCGCGAATTGATGACACCTTGCCAACCACTGCCTCTCCCAACGTCTTGACACATTGCCGAGCTGCTTCGTTGAACGAATTGCATGATACGAGTCTTTCTTCTGCCGTAGTTCGTCTGGCCAGCGTGCCAATTGACATCCACCGCCTCGCTCTGCGGCTGCCCCTCGATCCGTCCCCCGCCTTGGCATCACACCCACCATGGCCTCCGCCGTCTTTTTCCTCGATTTGAAGGGCAAGGTGCGCATTGCGAAGCTCGCTCGCGTGTCGATGGACCAAAATATGCTGACGAGACGTGCGACAGACCCTCCTTGCCCGAAACTATCGCGGTGACATTCCCATGTCAGCTGTCGAGAAGTTCCCTATCCTTCTTAGTGAAGCCGAAGAAGAATCATCGGCTGTGCCTCCATGCTTCTCCCATGAGGGCATCAACGTACGTATCGATGCTTACGGTCCAGTCTCTCCGAACCTCGACTGACCAAGGACCGCCAGTATCTCTACATCCGCCACAACAACCTCTACCTCCTCGCCCTCACGAAACGAAACACGAACGCCGCCGAGATCCTCCTCTTCCTCCACAAGATCGTCGAAGTCTTCACAGAATACTTCAAGGCCCTCGAGGAGGAATCCATCCGCGACAACTTTGTCATCATCTACGAACTGCTCGACGAGATGATGGACTTCGGCTACCCCCAGACCACGGAATCCAAGATCCTGCAGGAGTACATCACCCAGGAGTCGCACAAGCTCGAGATCCAGGCCCGCCCGCCCATCGCCGTTACCAACGCCGTCTCTTGGCGTTCCGAGGGTATCCGCTACCGCAAGAACGAGGTCTTCCTCGACGTCGTCGAGTCCCTGAACCTGCTCGTCAGCGCCAACGGCAACGTCCTCCGATCCGAGATCCTCGGCGCGATCAAGATGAAGTGCTACCTCTCCGGCATGCCCGAGCTGCGCCTCGGCCTCAACGACAAGGTCATGTTTGAGACGACGGGCCGCACGACGCGCGGCAAGGCCATCGAGATGGAGGACGTTAAGTTCCACCAGTGCGTGCGCCTCTCACGTTTCGAGAACGACAGGACAATCTCCTTTATCCCGCCCGACGGCGAGTTCGAGCTCATGAGCTACCGCCTCAACACCCAGGTCAAGCCCCTGATCTGGGTCGAGTGCGTTGTTGAGAGCCACAGCGGGTCGCGTATCGAGTACATGCTCAAGGCCAAGGCCCAGTTCAAGCGGAGGAGTACGGCAAACAACGTCGAAATTATCGTTCCCGTCCCCGACGACGCCGATACCCCGCGCTTCAGGACCAACATTGGCGCTGTCCACTATGCCCCTGAGCAGAGCGCCATTGTGTGGAAGATTAAGCAGTTTGGTGGTAACAAGGAGTTCTTGATGAGGGCAGAGCTCGGTCTGCCGTCTGTCAGAGGCGACGACGAGCACGGCGGTGGTATGACTGGTGGCTTCGGTGGCAGTATGGGTGGTGTAGGCGCTCCCGGCAAGGGTGCGAAGAGGCCGATCCAGGTCAAGTTTGAGATCCCCTATTTCACGACAAGTGGTATTCAAGTTCGGTACCTCAAGATTACAGAGCCCAAGGTACGTTTACTCCCTCTTCCTCCCGCTCATCGTACACGACTAACAATTTCTAGTTGCAATATCCCTCGTTGCCATGGGTCAGATACATCACTCAATCAGGAGACATAGCCGTGAGACTGCCCGACGCGGTGTAAGACACAACGTCGAGGATTTGTTTTGCGGTTTGGGAAGGGGGTCGTTAATTGCAACCCAAGCTATTTTACTAAGCGAAAAGGTGGATTGGGTCATGCATCTTCGATTGCTGGACGATGGTAGACACGTCGGAGGCTCACGCAAGGACCCTGAGTAAGGGGTTACCATGACCAGGAGTCTATAGAACAGGAGGGACGCATGATGTTGGTGGCATGAAATATATCAAATTCTTCAAAAGATCACGCCCAACGCCGAACTCTTCCGAGATGCGAATGTCTCCAAAGTCGTCAGGTCGTTAAATGCCCCGATCTGAAATGCATGCGAAATGCTCAGGTCGCGATGACCTCGCGATGTCGTTGTGGTCACCCTGGCCACGTGCTACCAACCAGAATACCAAGTTAATAACTCCGATTACCCAATGATGGCTTTGCCGTTTTCTTCAAAGTCATTGAGGGTCTCAAAGTTGGAACCATGCGGGTTGGAGTACTCGTCGTAGCAGATCTGTACCAGTACTCCCCGCGGCGGACCTTTCGAGTCTGGCTCTGGCACCGGAACTAGGAGTCAGCCGCCGGTATCTTCAAAAGTCAGTCTCGGTGGGAAAAGCGTTGATTCTGACCCGCATGAGTGGAACGAGGCCCACCTGTCCAACGATTGTTCCTCCACCAGCCCTGTTGAAACACATAATCGGCATGACGAGGTCTTCTGTTGAAGGCCATAAGTCCGATTATGATCCCAAGAGGACCACCGAGGCCCTTCGATTGAGGCGAGCTGCTGGACTGGGACTGCGGCAGCGCGTATGTCTCGGGCAGGAGACTGGGTATCCATGATGGGTTTCTGCCGGCGACGTATCTTTCGGAACCACTGATGCGAGTCATCCCGGGTTCTCGAGAGTCGTGGTCGAACTCCAGTTGCATCCATCTATGCTCGACTTCTAAGTCTTCGACGATGGACGTGTCAGCGTCCGCGTAGATGCATGGAAGGAAACGCCAGCAGTTGAAAACGCTGTGAGTACTATGAACTCCCATGTTGTAATCGAGCGATGTTTGTTGACCATACTCGTCCAGACTTTGGTACTCATAGGCGATATTGCCTGGCTGTCCTGGCTGAGGTCGTCTCCAGAGATAGCCATCTGCTTGGCTTACGGTCCCATTCCCGTATCGCCAAACAGTGCCTGGGCTCTCGGTGCCATAATTTGCGCTGGTATTTGGTGGCAGAGGGTTGCCAAACCTGTCGCAAAGGGGACCATCCTCGCCATCACATATTTCGAACTCGTTTACGACAAAGAGAAAGCTCAATGGAGCCGTTTGCGGTGCCCCTCCCTGTTTGCTGCTGCTCTCTTTCGGCTTGGATCTCCTCTCGCTCTTCTTGCCCTGTCGATGGGATCTCTGTCGTTGTCAGCCTCGAGATGTTTGTTCTGGACGGCTTCCGTACTACCGGTAATAAGAAAGACATGTTCGTTAAACTGTAATTGGAAGACTCTCGTACGTTGACCCAAGCTGTCTAAGAGAACGTGTGGATGGACCCTTGGGGCTGAGTTTTCGCTGTTCGACAGCCGCGACTGCCACGCGATATGTTGGCTGATCTGATCAGAAATGACAGAGAAAGATTGCGTTCGCCTCTTATGCAACCATCACACTTAAGGGCCCAAACCAGGCTGTGTTTGCCCAAAGCAACAGCCTGGCATGTCTCGTTCAGGCCAGCTTGGACAACGTCGTCGACCGCCTCGACGGTATTCCGTCTGATTGGAGGCTGCTCAGAGTCAACGCAGTATCCGAGCCCAACTCTTCAGCGTTGACGCCCTGCAGATATGCTTGTTTTGCAGAAGATCATCATGGCTTCTGCGGTACTGTTCGTCATCTTTGATGACAGCGGAGGAGGGCACCCCGTGGTCACATGTTGTTTGGCTTGCATGCCGCCACGTTTTGTCGGTGAAGAATGACTGCATGATGCCCGGTTGCTTCTCGATGGCTGGACTGCATTGCGAGGCCATGAATGCGATTCCCAACGCCGAAATGTCGTTGGCGGTCGTTCGGCTTTCCCAGACGTTATGCCGCTTCAAGCCAACGAATAAACGATAGCGATAATCCCGCCGATTGCTGCCGGATGGGGGAGACAGATTCAGTTACATGGCTGTCGTTATCTGGTGCATTTCCAAGGTCTGGCACCTCCACGTTTCTCTGCAAGTACGTCGTCATGGTCGATACTGATTGCAGTAGCCTGAGTTGGCCAGCAGGGATGCGCTGGCTTCCATGCTGGGAAAGAGTGTGTGGAATTTTCTCTGTCGAACCTGGAGCAAGGGGATGACTTGCATGAATGATAGCCAATGGAGACCGGGCTCCCACTGCCACATGCTGGAGTTCGATTGCCCAGACCAATGAAAGGGTTGCAGTGTTGCTCGGGAGCTCGGAATGCGATGATTCCAGTCGCCAAAGCCTTCGACAACGGAGACTCGGCGCTGCGGAATTTCCTCGAGTACCTCGAACTTCCTGCACTATCAATGCGTCAATGAGAGACTCGAGGAGAGATGTCTCAGTACTCTACCCAATGACGTTACTGCCGGCAACCGTCTTGGTTCCGCGACAGAGCAGCCGAACAGTTCATTCGCGAACAAAAGGCTTTCCAAAAGCTATTGGTAAGCTCGTGTGACGGCTCCCCACGCCCACGCTGGCTGTAGTAGCAGGTTGACAGCCACCCTGTGCTTTGATAGTCAGATCATGATGTCTGGCAACCTCTGACTCTGCCCCCTCTTTGAGCCAACTGTCGGCTCTGCCACTCGGGCAGGACATTCCCGGCAGGCATTTGATGGAGCATCTTCATATGCATGGAGATACTTAGCGTTTTCCATTTGAGCCCAAGGGAGTGGGTGTGGAGGTTTGTACTGCGTGGAAAAGGCGTAGCGTTCTGATGCCGTTGGATCGGAGTGGTTGATATGTGGATTCTGTTGGATTTACTACTCAGGCTTGAATGGAAACAGGGTTTGGAACAAACTTTAGTTAGTCCTGGGAACGGTCCTGGGAACGTGTTGACATATAAGTGAGAAACCAGACGAGAATCAATGGCCGTAATTGGGGAACTCAACATGTGCATCTTTACCTACCTCAGTCGTCGGGTGTTGATTTCTCAAGCCCTAATTGTGTAGCTTCGATGGGATGCTGCCGACGATTGCTTCTGTCGGCCTGTTTAATAGGCGAAGAGGATGTTGGTCTAGGCTGTCGGGATAACGCCTGCAGAGCCCGTCATCCAGTGTATGGCTTCGACAGACTGCTGTCCTTAGTACCACCGGACGAATTCGGGAAATCGGTGACCGCTGGTAAGCCTCAATCGACTGCGACAGGCTCAGACGGACCGTATTCCAACCAGTCAGCCGAGTCGGTCTACAATACATTGACCGATAAAAGTCCATAGCCAATGAGGAAAAGACCGTTGTGCTTGGTTCGGGTAGAAGTGATGCGGGGTTCGTCCGGAGGCTTGGCAGACATCGTTGGGCTCCGAGCCGTTGACGTGGTCGGCCGTACAGCAGACCATAACCAAGTTGGATGATGCGTAAATCCTTCAAGATTGTCTTTATCAGTGGTCTTGAGGTGATAATGTGCGGTTTATGCAATGTCGGCATGTCGAGGAGGCGCCCAGATGGTGTTCCGACGGAGCTAGATTGGTCCCGAAAGGGCCTGTTGAGGCCGGAGTTTGGTGTTGGTTGTTTGTGTGACGTTGAATTTGGCAGTGTTTAGCGCTGGTCATCTGTCGAGAAGGAGGTGGTCCGTCCCCGTCATCTCCTGCCTGATTTGTTGTTCTTTCCGTTGATCTCCACGTGTGCTCCTTTTTGTGTTCGTGCAGGAGAAGTACACCTACATCCTTCCGTAGCCATGGTAAGCAGGCAGCAAGGAAAGAGCTGGACTGGATCACCGACCCGGCGCTCCTCAATTAATACTCAAATTCATTAATCCGCAAGCTGACAAGATCAATATGGGGCCATAAAGTTATGGATGAAGCAGGTGATTGATTCGGAAGATAAGATTTTCTCATTGAGCTGTGGAATTTAATTCAAAATACGGTCCAAAAAGATGAATGGTAGAAGTCAAAAGGTTGTTGAAGAAGGAAAGACATCAAGGATTACAGCATCATCATGAAAAAGACGATCAGTACTGGTACAAAGAAGAGTTGAGAAGAGCGGACGGGGCCAAGGAAGCTGCCAAGGGGTTCAAAGATCCAAACTGTTCAAACAAAGCCGAGAGGGTGTTATGGGCAGGCTGCAAACCACCATCGACCCATCCACCGAGGAAGGAGGTACAGTCGCTGTTGATGAGGACGCGAGAGCTCTGGTTGTTGACGGAAAACTTCTCGTAGTCGTAGAACATGGCCGAGATGTCGTCGTCCTGTCCCGGCAGTCCGAGGGAGAAGGCACCGTAGGAGTAGCGATCAAGAGGCCAGTGAATGAGGTAGAGATCGTCATCGGTGACGGGAGTGAGGTAGTCGGCATACTGGGCGTAGTCGGTTTCCTGCATGATTCTGGCGACTTGGGTCTTGAGGTCTGCTAGGAGCTCCTTGGGGTCCGAGATAGCCATCATCTGCAGAGAAAGGTCCTCCCACGCGTAGGTGACAAGGACCATGCCGTAGTCGGGATGGCCGTAGTCCAGAGTGTAGGTCTGTGGCAGGTTGGTGTCCGAAAGAATAACACGAGGGAAACCAGCGGGCTGGTTCTCCCAGAACTTCTTGGTGCGAATGAAGAGCTTGGAAGAAGCCGTCATGTGCAGGTCGTTGATACCCCGCTGAACTTCGTTCGAAAGAATTGGGTCCTCAGTGGTCTCCGAGACTGGAGTAAAAGCGTAGGTCATGGCTCTGTTGCTAGTTCCTACAATGACAAGGTCATACTCGGTGTCCGTGGTGCCAGACGAGCTGGTCTCTCGGACGCCGACGGCAAGTCCGCCCAGAGGGTCCCCACCACCGCTTGTAACTTCAGCGACGGTAGAGAACTTGGTCTTGACCCCAAGCTCTGTGGCCTTGTCCCAGATTGTGGTGGCGAGATCACGGATGCCGGCTGGCTGGAGACCGCTGGTGGTGTTCTTGGCAAAGACCGCCTGGTCTGATTCAAGGCCGTTGACCACAAGACGGAAGACGGAGTTAAAGCCAGAGGTGTACACAGCGCCGAAGCCGCCAGAGCCAATGCCCAAGGTTCCAAAGCGCGTAAAGTCATCCTCCGTCCAGACCTCGCCTCCGGGGACATCCCACTCGTGGTTCTCGCCAAAGATGCGCTGGAGAGCAGAATAGAAGCTGTCATCTCCAAAGGTATCCAAATACTTCTGCCACTCAGGGACTGCCTGGGCTCGGGTGGTAGAATCTGAAGAGCTGAGCCACTCGGTCATCTTAGAGGCCGCGGTCAGAGCAGAGGAACCGCCCTTGGTCAGGCCACCAGAGATGAGTTTGATCCAGCCGTTATTGACCTTCTCAAATCCAGAGGGGGGAGTGTTCGAGTCAACCCAGTCGGTAGCATTGTTCTCGTAGAAGACGATGGTAGGCACCTTGCCAGGGTCGGGGAAGTTCTGAATGAAAGTGTAGTTGAAGGCATTGGCGTAGTAGTAGAGCAGGTCCTCCGAGGGCGGGAAGCGCATGGCGCCCATCTCAGCGACGTTGACCCCATCAGGGGTTGGGAGGGAACGGAGACGACCTCCAACAGAATCAGTCGCCTCAATCAAGGTGACATCAGCGCCAGCCTTGGCCAAGTTGAAGGCGAGAACCACGTTGGTGATGCCCGCTCCGACGAGACCGATCTTGAAGTCCGAGGGGAGCGTGCCCAGGGGCTGGTTGATGTCGCCAGCAGCCTGAGGCCAAGCCGAGTAGATCAGCTGAGGGGTGTCAACCCAAGCTTGAGGGCGGGCTTTCTGCTCCGTGGGAGTGGTTGATTGTCTCTTGGCCAGCTGAGAAAACGAGGTCTTGTTGTTGGTAGAGGGGGTCTCACGGACGGTGAGAGGCGCGTAGGCGGCGTTCTTCTTGTAGTTGAAAGAGGGAATCATTTTGAAAAGAGTGGATAAGTGTTATCTGCGGGTTTTGAAAGAAGGTCTGAGACTGAGTGAGCGTGATGTCTTCAAAAAGGTTTTCTCGATGAAGAGGGAGATGTCGACCTCTTATACATCGACGCTGTGTCGTTTTTGAAACCCGACGTTCTCAAGAAAAGAGAAGAAAAGTGAGCGCAATCATCTTGATGCCGAGTTTGCCGCCGGATACGACTCTGCCTCGTAGGATTTTACAATGGTATGCATCTCGACTGTGCTCACAAAGACAGGAAGCCGCAAGCGCGGAAGAAATCCTGCAGCGCGAGGGCATCCGTCTTGCTCCTTGGCTGCCCAACTTCCTTGCACCGTGCGGACTTCCTTGG